TGCATTAGTTGAACATCTGCTAAGCCATAATGAAGCTATGTTTGCCCCTTCTTTAAGTGCAAGATGATAACACCAGCTCTTCTGAAGCTGAATGTATTGGACATGGCTACCTGAGTGACTGACATGGGCTTGAAGGAAACCCGAAACAACTCCAATAGTCACCTTAAGGATGCTTTATTTAGGTTCCTTAGATGTACACTCTCACTTGAAAAGGCCTTTCAAAAAAAAAAATCTGTGTTGATATGTGTTGACAAAACTAATGGAAAGCCACTCATGAGCCCACAGAGTCAATTCACAAGCTGCTTTCTTATACTGACAGTAAGTACAAGTGAGGTCTCTCTCCGCTGAGAACTAAGCACTGCATGCTATCACCGTGTCACCTGGTACCTGGGGGCATGAGGGTGGAAACAAGGCTGAGTGATCTCCAAGTTGCAAGCTATATTCTAATTCCAACCTCCCATTGCTCTCTCTATGTGAATAGCAGAAAATAAGATTGTCAGAATAACTCCAAGAAGAGGGCTGTAGAAAGGGCTTAAGAGCTGGAATCCCTGCTCAACTCCGCCTCTAACCTGAAAGTTTAGCATGCTACTGTATTAAGTAGACTTGCTCAACTGGAAGTTGTTTTCTTATGCTAAAACTCAAGGCATTAATTGTTAAAGAAGTGTAACCTAACAACCTAACCCTTAAGTCTGTAACTTCCTAATATAAGCCTAACAAATATATTGTGTAACAGGTCAGACTGAAGGCTTAAATCCTGTATTTGGAAGTTAAAAGGCACAAATACCTCCATTTGAGGAACAGCCTTTACTTAGAAGTACTTTAGGACCTATTTTGGCCTTATAAATAATTAAGCTCACAAACCTACAACAGTACTGAGTGACAGGTAATTCAACTGCCAAAATACTGCAGGCCTTTCTAAGGATTGTGCCTAACTAACATCAGAAACACTGGATGCATACAGCAGAGGTAACTATAATTACTAGTGTTAACACTGGTTCTGAAATGAAGCCTAGCTGAAGTGGTTTGTAAATCATCTTATTTAAGGCAGACAGTGCTCCATATATGCCTTCTGAGATTCCTCAATAAACTAACAGCAGTGTCCCTTTGCTCCTGAAAAGGATGTACCACTATCTATTCTTACTCAACTTCCTTTGCTGAATGCTAACATATGTTCCCCTTAAACTCTGGGTTCTAACATTGCAAAGCCAATACTCTAATCAATGTAACTCACTTCCTTTGGCTAGGAAACAGGTTAAAAACATTCCTCTCCAATTCAGTAACTTAGTGACAAAGCCCTAGTTAAAAACACAGGTTTTTGATGGAGCTCGGAGCATTCTTTTCATCTCCAGAAGACTGGGACTTCACTAGAACCAAGCAGCCTAACTTTAGAAATTTATTTACAGACAATTAAAAATATTAAAAATAGTTAATTTTAAATATTCTGCTCAGATATTTCATTTTTGAAGTAAAAAGTCTGGATAAAGGGCAGCTGGAATTTGATTAGTAACTTCAAGCAACATGATTATATGCCTGCCATGCCCTTCAACAGCATCCATCCTTTAACAGTAAATGTATTCACAGACTGTTTCAACTGTTCCACTATTTTCACTAGTAAAATGCCTCCATTTCTGCTTCATCAGATGTTATCAGTTGAGCCTACAATCCTGAAGCTAGATAGATAAAAGATTGAAGAACACACTGACATGGAACTCAGTTTCTGATGAATTCTAGGACTTTGTACAAGGTGCAGAGAAGAAGCTCCACAGCCCCACCTGATGGTTGCTTATCTCCCCCATGTGCCACTTACCAGCTTCTAAGCAGTGTTGAAGTGGAAGCAGTTCCATTCTGAAGATAACATTCAAAGGTCCATTACAAATCTAAGCTAGCTGAAACTCAATAGCAACTTAAGCTACCTCAGCACACAGTAAGTGAGTTTTTAATACACTGCTGGCTTTTTAAGTAGTTTGTAATCAGAACACGAGTGCACTACATAATCATAGTGACACAAAAGGAGCATTTGCATTTTTAAGCATGGCTCACATTGATTTCTTGCATGTCTATTCATAGATAAGCAGCCTAGAGTCAAAATGAAGTGTTTCATGGTTATTAAGCCCAAACCTAAACATGAGCTTCTAACTAAAATTTGAGTCATTAGCTTTATTTCCTTGTTTGTCTATTGTGGTTTGTCCATGACCAGCGCTCCCTCTCCTTTGTCTGACTAAGACAGACTGTGAGCATATGAAATAGATTAAATATGACCTGATTGTGTCAAAAATACTGATTGCTGACATCTGAGTAATTTAAAACAGTATCTAATTATAACATGAATAACTCCTTTGTATGAATGCAGTCCCAGTGAATAATTACAGTAGGAGCAGAACAGGATAGTACTATGAATACGACAACTTCAAGGACTGTTCTAGTGGGCCTAATCTGAAAATCTTGCCACAGTGAACCTCTTTGTACCACAACAGAAAACAGCCACTGCAGCCCCAAGTTTAAGGTCATTACTCATTGGGTTCCCAATGCTGGAAGCAGTGGGGGAAGAGGGTAAAATATGATGGCAGTTAACAAATTTCTCTTGGAAAAGCATTGGTCTGTTTAGACAACTGAAACCTAACCTTGCTCTAATCAGAAGAGCTGTCTGAATGGAAGGCAACTCAAAACTAACACAACACACAAAAATAGATAGGTATTGTGGAGCACAACTTCTTGCCTCCTTTGTTAAACTATCAGCAGACACCTCCATGGACTGCAGAAGAGAGCAGAAAACTAAGTGTTGATAAAAAGATGTGCAGGAAGGCCATTGCCTTGGAGTGAACTGCATCTCTACTAGCAAGTGCAAAACAAACAGCATACAAGGTTACTTTGCCTTTTGAACACTCTACTTGCACGTAGCTCACAATCATAGTAAGCAATCTATGGAACCTTTAAAAATACTTTGGCTGCTAGGCAGTTTCTTCTCATAGCTTCTCAGTTTTTTACTTAATAAAAGCATCCAGCAAGATCTTTAGGGCTCAGCAGCAAAAAATAAGAGTAAAAAGAGCAATTGTCAGTTTTTAGATCATAAACTGAAAAGACCACAACCAAATTGGACAAAATGAGCAAGGAAAGAGAAACTGAAGAGTTACAACAGGTGAAGGACGAAGCTGTGTTCCACTTCTTGCACCGTGTCTAAGACAAACTTAATTTAATAGACTGTGTTGTGTGGCTTTGTAGAAACATGAAAGACAACTACAATCTGAGCATTAGACCTTGAAGTGGTATTGCAAAGGCTCAAATAGAGCAATGAGAACCAAAATCCTGTCTGTCAGACCAGATGGAGCAGTGGACAAAACTCTGAATACACGCACTTCCTTGCCCTCAAAGCATACAGGCTTTGCAACTATGTGCTTGTCTCATCTTTTTATTTTCATTTCAGATTATTTCAGAAGGCCTGAAGTAAGATAAGGCAAAATGCCTCTTGCAAAGGATTGTTTTAGGCTGTTATACCACACTAATGTTTTCAGAGAGGTGGGAGACAAAAGCAATTAAGGTAAAGCTCCACAGATCTTCAATGCTCACCCTGTACTTGTGCTAAACTTTACCTAAAGCAGAGTTACCTGATGACGTTATTTCTTAGAGCACTAAGAAGGAGTGCAGTGGAATAGATGCTGCAGTGTAGAAAAGGGTAAAACAAAAATGCCTGAAGAGTTGATCTCAAAAAGAAATCCAAACAAATAACTGAACTAAAACAGTGTCTAGACAACCTACATTTCTAAGTAACAGGTTCTGCAGTGAAAGGTCCTCTTCAGATGTGAGCAGTTACTGAAAACGTAAGATGTAGGCCATGTTTCAAATATCCTAGTTGAAATAGCTATGTAGAGCTCTGTACAACAGATAGAAGGAGCATAAAGAAGCCTTCTTTCTGGGAAGGAATGTTCCCTCTTGCTCAGTGTACATCAGGCAGTAAACTGAATCTGGCCCTGCCTGTAACAGGGGGGGTTGGAACTCGATGATCCAACCCAACAAAAACAGTCAATTTCATGTAATAAGTTGGCCTATTACATTCAAAATGAAAACAAATAAAAAATGTTGCTGACTGAGTGAACAGGCAGCAGAAACACTGAAGCAGCTTTCCAGCATAATTACTGATAGTCCACAATACAGAGCCCCTTCAAATCACTACTTTCAGGAAAAAGAAGAGTCTCTGTCAAGAACTGTATTTGAAGCAATTGCAGTTAGCAGTCCAAGAATATTTGTCAGCATCTGTAAATCTGTGTGGCAACATGGCACACTGCCATCACTGTCAATTCATTGTTCAAAGTAATTCTCAATTGCTGTACTCTCATCCCTGCTTTGATGCACATGTATCAAATGGTTGCCACACACAAGTAGAAAAGCATGGTTCTGCCTACTCACACTATTTAGTACAAGCAACTGCTAAAACAACTATCAGCACTGAGTATGGCACACAATGTGATGGAGCCTCTTCCAGTCATATGCTCTAAAAGTAAAGTGCAACTTTGGAACAGAAAATCAGGGTATTGTAACTCATTTTAAAGTAATGGAGAGGTGGGACAGTAAAAGCACTTACAGATCATTTGATAGAAGAATGCAGAACTAATGATATGGGCATCTGTTAAAGTAAAGCTTTGAATGAGATTTTCCTAGTGTTTTTGAAAACTGGCCTTTATTAGGAAATGCAACTATATAAAAATACAATTAAAAATTGAGTGGAAAATTAAACTTGTGTTTCAAAAACCCTGAGGTGGTGTTTGCTGCAATGACAAGACTGCTGCCAGAGCCTCAGAGGATTTACTTGCACTAGCAATTGCAGAACAGAAGTGGTAGGAGAGCAGCAATTTAGTCTGACAAGATGGATGCAAAAGGTTTGGATTAAAATGTTTTTCAACTGCAATATTTGGAACGCTGCGTGTGCTTCGTGCAACTCAGGTACATGATGTTATATCACTTTAAAACAATCTACACCAGGTATAACACCCAGGTACTTAACTTACCCCTCCCATTGTAATGCCATCAATAAGTGCAACGTATGGCTTCTTGCAAGTGCCTACAAGAAATGTTTGAAATTGGTTTTTATCCAAAAAAAATAGAACGGGCTAAATATACTTTTCCCCATGTCTAACTTCAGCAGGAGAGACAGAAAATAGTTAATTAATACCAAAAAAAAATCTTTCTTACAATGAAGCTGCTCCATGTGATTATCTTAGTACACTCCTCATGTTGTAAAAGAACACGAAGTGTCAATGTGAGCTCCTGATAATTCAGCTGTATCTGGCTATTGTAAGTAGCCTTGCAGGGAGTTGGACGCAGCAGTTCCCCTTTCACCCTATATTACACTTGGATGAAGAGTACAGTGTGTGCACCAGTAGCTGAGCACAAAGACAAGGTAAGTTTAAGCTAAAACATGACTACCAGCTACTGCAATGTGAACGTGTTCTGTCTTGCCAGTTCTGCTGCATGCTCCAGCCCCAGCACGGTGCGAGTCAAGATGCCATCCTAAAGCACTGTGACTGCATCTCTTCACGTTGCTGGAGCTTCTAGGAGGTATGAAACTGAGCACCTGATGCTTTCAATTACTGTTTATGGAGAAACTCAGATTCATTCTGAAAATTAATCAGATTGCTGATACAAGTATCTGCTGCAACTATAGACCCATGTTTTAAAACAAACAAAAAACATGCTACAAGGCACTTCAGTCTTTGAGGTTATTAGTCAGAAAATATGAGAACTGGATCTCCAACTTTGCTCTTGCACAAACGCAGAAGATAGCACATAAGCTCTAGATGACAGTCTTTGAACTAAATTTCCATGAAGGTATGTCTTCCCAATAACAAATGCAGCAAAAAAGCGGCTGCCCTGTCCATTTCAAGTGGTAGAGTGCAATTTCAAGTACTTATTAATGGTAGAAATCCCAATCCTAAAGGAATACAGTCATGCCAGAATTACCTGAAACCTAGGTTTTGTAATTATATGTACTTCAGGTATAAAACACCGTAATCACTTAGGACAAGCAAACAAGCATTTGGGCACGTGTTCTTGCAATGTTTGCTATACCAATACTAAGCTTTTACAAGAAACCTCAAGCTGAAAGCAAGAAGGCATAGTAAAAAATGCTGAACCTTGGCAAATGAAATAAAAACAGCTCTTCAGACATTTCTCTTATTCTAATAACTATTACTCTATACTTTTCTGGCAACATAGGTTATTCTCCAACATCACCTCCTCTCCTCTAGTGGCTAGTAAGGGATACTCTGGTTGTTTAAAAATCCAAACTGTATTCAATTAAAACATGTTCTGAGATGTTTTTTTCAAAATAACATTCAACTCTGGATTTTTTTTTTTTTCCACCCAAAATAATTGGTATCCTTTAATATCTCCATTCCTTTACTTGATTACTCTCTAACTTGTAACGCTGCTTAGCCCCGGGTTCTCTGCAGTAAACTAAGGCAGCAATCTCCTAGCCTGAGCATTCCTTTGAGAAGCCTACTTAAATGGAAAGGTTTAAAATAACTTGATCTTCTGCTGTCTAGTGGAGCATTAATGATATTTCCACGTATATATTTTTATCTCTTTATGCCTTTGAAGTAGATGAAGGATAAGTAGTGCAGAACTGCTCTGTCTGAATCTGACAGTTGGATCATCAGTTGCTGAACTGCGACTACCAAGAACAACATGGGATGGGGTAGCTGTGAAAGGTTAAACACAAGAAACTGCATTCAAGGTATGAAAGTGACATGTTACATTACTAGTATTAAACTTGGTTTTTAAAAAAATGACTTATTTCATTATGCTGTCTTTTTGGACAAGAGAAGAGAGAAAGTGAACTTATATTCTAAGCTGTTGTTATGAACATTATATTGCATTAAGATTTGCTATCAGACGTACCAACGGCATTGTTCAGTGTATATTCTTCTCTGAAGTAATCTTGTGTCATTCTATCTCCAGCTTTTCCTGCATCTGCAATAGCTTAAGAAAAATAAAAGTTGTAAAGATCACTGCAGGATTAATAAAACATCAAAAAAGTACAGAAATGAGTACTGCATGAGAATATTTTGTCCTACAGCAAACAACAACACAATCCTGCTTTATTTCACTTGAGCAGTCAAACTTACCAAACTGAAATATGAAAACAAGCTATCAAAATAGAGTGCCTTCCATTATGGTGGGGAGTTTGTCACATACTTCTTGAGAGAGTACAGTCTACTTGCTGCACTATAAGACCTCTTGTAATGGTTGGCAACGTTGTTTGCAGTGATTTCATATCAATATGTGGACCAGCCACTTAAAACTGAAGACTGAATACTAAGAATGGAAAAAATGATAAGAGCAGGGTGTAATTTAACAGCTACCTGTGTTGCTCGTTTATATAAGCTTTTAAACAACCATTTCTTACTGCTTAGAGACTTCATATTGTATGTAGTTACAGAATAGTCATGAATACATTGATTCCTGTTGTCAACTATGTATCCTCCCATCTCTGAGTCAAATGTCAGGCATAAATTATTCAGTAGTAACAGTGCTACCTTTTGAGACGCTTCAAATTTCTTGTAGGGAAGCAGTCAATAAGGAAACACGGGGAAGGAAAAGATAAGAACCCTCTCTTTCCAGTAATGATTGGCTACTATTGCCAGTTACTCATAGGCAAACATTTGACTTATCTTTCACAGTTCCTACTTTGTGTGGATTGAATTCCTTTATTTACTGAGACTCAGGTAAACGGACATGTGTTACAAAACAGTGAGAGATGAGCCTTGCTGACTTCTGTCATATTGCTGTGCTACTGTGAGAGAGCTGTTAGAACAGTGTATGAAGGAATAGAAATTGGTTAAAGAGTCCTTACCTCTAACGTCACCGCCAGCACAAAAAGCTTTTTCTCCAGTTCCCTTTATAATTATTAGAAAAGTCTCAGGATCTTGCTCCCAAGCCTAAAGAGACGTAAACAATCCCACATAAGATTAAAGGCTGTGCATAAAAATATACTGTCTATGGACAGTACATGATTACGATTTGCTTTATGAAAAAATATCATACTTTAGTCTGTTTTAAAAGCAAGTCAGAGGGCAATATGTGTTTGTTTAGGAATCTCTCATTCCCCTTCTGCTGTCACGTTCAGCCTTGGTTCTGGAGATCAGCGCAGCTGCTTATGGAGAGCTCCTAAGCTCTGAAGACATGCAGCTTTCCCTAAAGCAGGGCCTTATAGAAATCTCAAGGAGAATACAATGATGAAGGAGAAAACTAGGAATGCAGGACATAGAGTAACTGTTTCAACAGAGTCAGTTCTGTTGAACCTAAGATGTGCAGCAAAGAGCGCTGAAGTTGCTGATGGACACTCTCAAAATGACGGCAATCAGAGCCAGCCGTGGACTGGATCAAGTCAGTTTTGTGCACAGGTATATTTGTGACAGGATATTTGTGTGTACCAACAACTGTACTCAAAATAATGCTACCTCCAAAGGTTATGCTTCAAATTAAGTCAGTATGCAGTACTACAGATAAAGTATTTCTTTAAATGTTCTTCAAAGAATGCATAAATTAGCAATGAAACCATCTACCAAGATACAAATGCAGGTAACTATCTTACCTACACTGGTATTTCATGTCTGACTTCCTGAATATGATAAATAACGTAACTAAAAAAGGATTATATGCATGCTTAAAATTTCACATTATTTCACTACCTTGTAGAAACGCTGCCTGTAACTCCATAAAGCTACTCTTTAAGGAACAAAACTAAAAGCAACGTCCTTCCTAATGACTTGTATCTTTTGTTTCAACTATGCAGCCTCCCAACCAAGCACGCACTCAATTAAGAGTTTGGTTAGCAATATGTATAGCTTGGAATACATGCAGGACCAGCTGGGTATTGCCAACAGGAATGTATGAATGCTGACAACTGCTTGCCTTTAATTCAGACCTGGTGTTACTATGGGTGTCTTATCTGTGTAGATGCTAGAACTTAACTTTTTGTCTGACACTTATTTGCTTTGACATCTTTTTCTAATGTGCTTGAAATTGTCTGTTCCTTTCCATCCTGTAGATCTGAGCTCATTAGTGATCTCACAAAGTATGTGTGAGAAGAGTCAGGCTGAATCTTAAAACTAGCATCTGATAATGTAACAGCTACTCACCTTTATTTGTGGATAAATTTGTTGGATCATTCTCAAACTTAGTGCATTGAGAACCTTGGGTCTGTTCAAAGTTATTATTCCTGCGCCTCCTTTCTTTTGCAACAGAACATCAGCTTCAGAATCGGTATGCTCACATCTTTTCTGTAAGAGCAAAAACACTACGTAAAGCAAACATCTTTGATTTCTTAAGTAGCATACAAAAGTGTTCATGGAAACATACTCAAAGCTCACAGTTTAAGATTTAAAAACATACACTTGGGACTCTATGCTATGGCTTTCCCACTGTACTTCAAGTATTGGTACTTCTTACAAAGTTCTCTTGAAATCACTTGATGCAAAAAACCTCCAACAAGCTCCTGAGCGATACACTGTTTGACAAAGACATCTGAGGGTACTTAAAAACCAAACAGATAAGCAAAAAATGATGGTTGTATAAGCCAGACATTTTGAAAAAACCTGCAACAATTACAGTAAGAATGCCAAGTATCTTTCAGGCTTGCGGTATCAAATTGCCAGTATGTGCACACAGCTTTGACTGTGTATAATTTCTAACAGCAGAGAATTGCTCACTAAACTATTTTTACAATTGATTTCAAAGTGGAATGATATTTAAGGGGAAAATATAAGGCAGGCAGCATAGAAACAAACTACAAAATTAGGTAAGGCCAAAATAATTGGGCTTTGAGTTGTGATTTAACAGGCAGTTATAAGAGAGTGCACAAAGACACAGGCAAGGTTATGCTCAAGTGGTATTCATGGGCACCACGGACAGACATGTTGTAAGTTGCATGTGTTGTCTGTCTCAGCAGTGAGTCCCAGAAGCTCCCACCTCGGTCAAATAACACGCCGTTCTTACCAAATGCTGTAATATTACTTGCAGTCTGTTAAATGGCGTCAGTCTGAAAGAGAAACGTTAAGAGCTGTAGCTATTAAACAACTGTGCAATCCCTAAGCACACAACTGCTGAGCTGTGCAAGGTTCTACCTGAAAACTTCCTGGACAGGATTGTTTTAGGTTCTACTTTTGCTTAATCAAGAACTATTTTGAGATCAAACTAGTTGGAGATGTCACTGTATGCTATTATATAGATGGCAGACAGCAGTTAATGCTTTTGGTGTATTTAATCAGTTCCAAGCTCTGAAGTGAAGTTTCAAGTCTGTGTGCTAATAGGGAAAGCAAGAGTCCGGGGGCTATTTTTGCTACGTAGCAGCATCTCTAACGATTTAGAGCTGTGGCAGCCGCTGGACTTTAGACTAGAGGCGCCAGGCCTATGCTAACATGAGACAGAAGCGCTGTCTGTCAGCACGCTGTGTGCACACGGACCGGCCGGCCGAGCTCGTGCAGCGGCAGCACGCTCTGGCGGCCTGCCGTCCTACACAAGGTCATCTTTTGGGACCGGGCTCAGCTGTAGCAAGCCGGCACGCACCCACCTTACGGCCCCTTCGCGGACACGGTCCCCCAACCTCAGAGGTCAGCCGACTGCCATCGGCACCCTGCTGCAGCGCACGCGGCCAAGCGAGCCGAACCCGAGCATAACGCCTATACGCCCACCCTCCTCAGCTCTAGAGGGGCGGCCGGCAGCGGGGCCCAGCGGGCTCCGGCCCTACGGCCGCCGCCCAACGACACCCGGGCCGGGGAGGCCATGGGGCGCCGCCGCTGCCCTCAGGCGGGAGCGCGGGAACGGGCCGACTGTTACCTGCGCGGCGCCATCAGCACGCGGGCCGCCATGGCGGCAGCCGGCGCCGTCGGTCTCCGTCATCGGCAGCGGTAAGGCGGAGCGAGCGCATGCGCGGCACTCCTGTAACTTTGCCCCGAAAGGGGGGCTGTCCTGAAAGGTGAACGCGGGTTCGAGGAGGTGGTGGTCGCTGCCTGGTGGTAGCTAGTTCGCTTCTCTCTCACCGCAGCGAGCTGGGCGCTGGCTGTTCTCTTTACACCTGTATTGGAAGCCAACAGAAGCCCCGCTGGCCCCGAGCGCAGCGTGCGGCGCTGACCCCCAGGGGGCGGCCGTGCGCCGTGTGGCGGGAAGCCGCTCCGCCCGCTGCCTGCTCGGCGCCGCGCCCTTAAATCCATCTGCGTTCTGAAAGGTCGCTAAGGATGAGGTAGCATCTCACCGGGGCGTAACCCGGTTATCGGGAACTTAATGAGCACGTAACGTCGTTGCACTTTGTGTCTGGTGCCCGAAGATCTCAGCGGCTGCGCCTGTCTGTGGGGTGATCCCTGCGTTAGTGCCTTGGAAATGAGGACATGAGCTCATTGCGGGTAGGAGCTGGAGGAGCCTGTGTGCGACTCCTGGAAACCCCCGAATAGATTCCACCTGCACGCGAAGGGCGAGGCTGCCATCAGGGCACGGTTACACAGGGTGTGGGTGCCTGGGAGCACAGAACGCAGGTCACTGCTCTCTGATGCACCTTCTACTTATCCTGATTTTCATCTGCTTCATCCCCTCCTGGCTTCCGTGCAAATAATGGCCTTCCTTTGCTGCCTCCCAGCTGTATGTCTGATGTAGAAGGAGGCCTGCTGCTTTGTAAATAATGAAGTACCACAAGCATCGTCTTGCAGCAGCTATTGATTTCTTTTCAAAGTGCTTAATGTTTTCTTTATTTTTTTTTTTCTTTCCCCATTGGTTTCAAGAAGGATTGGAGCTATGTTGCTTGAGACTAGTGTTCTACTTTATTTTAAAACAAAAGTGAGTAAAAGTAGGAAAAAGAGTGAAAATTATGGGGTTACATGGAAGTAATTTGAATGAAGTGACCTTTAACCAGGGAGTTCGTGGATGGTGTTACTATTAGCTGAGACCAGCAGGAGACTGGATGTTTTAGAGTAAGTAGCACTGCAGTCACCAAGCCAGGAATTCAGGGAGTGCAAGTACAGTAGCCAGAAGGGTAGGCAGGTTGTAATTCCTCCCTGTGGAGAAATTTCCTGGCAGTGTGTTCAGCAGGTTTGGAAAGAGAAAACAAATTGCTGACTGTAGGAGGACTTCAGAGCTGAGCAGATGTTTTGGGGTTTTGTTTTTGTTTGGTTATTGGTGTTTTGGTTTTTTTTTTTTCTTTCTTTTCTAGAAAAATATAACTTATACATCAAGATGTAGGTGCTCCTGCTCCCAAGGACTCCAAGAGCAGCTCAGCTGCATTCTGTATGCCACTTCTATGTTTCTAATTAATGATTAATTGGTACCTCTCAGTTACTTGCCTTAGAGCTCTGCGTGTATTTCACCAAGACCAGATAATAGATGGTGCAAGTACTTCATTATGTCCTGCGTTACTGCATCTTGGCTTACAGTAAACTGTATTTTTTCCTCCATTGGTCTAAGAGCTAGAATCTAATTTCTGTGTGTGGAGAATGTGGGAAGTAATCCTTACAGGTAGTGCATCTTTACAGTATACAAAGGTAAGGAAAAATGAGTGTGAAGGCTGAAGAATAGAATGGGGGAATCTCCAGTTCATCCCAGCAAACTGGTTATTTCTGTACTGGCAAGCAATCCACGAATTGTCATTTTTTTCCCCCTTTCTTTCCTCCTCAGCTCAGTGACAGCACCGTAAAACACATACTTGCTCCAGTGTGGACAGTAAGCACTGAAGGCTCAGGTCTGCTGTGGACAGTCTGCCACTGGCTTCGGTGAGAGCAGAATTTGGCTTAAAGTAAGTGGAAAACTAATCTCCGCTCTCTAAAAATAAGCCAGCCCAGGGAAGGACTGAAACACAGGAAATACATATGTAACAGGGAGAAGCAATTTTTGCTTTTGTTTGTAATGCGAGTAATCCCACAGGGAGACTCTATTCCCCCAGGCTTTTAGTTAGAGCCTTGTCAGATAATGCATCCACATAGTCTCTGAAGTCATATTTGGGAGGAGTGTACAGCGAATGGCATTCAGAATCGAATTTCTCCCCTAACAAAAATGGGGGGAAGCTTTTTGCCCTTTTATCAGTTATCCTGCATTTTACTATGGGGAAGTAGAAGCATTTGGAAAAAGATGAAAGCAAAGGCATGATGAAACTGCAGGAGTGAAGCTGTTTTTCCATTTTCCTGTGGCCTCTGGGGCACTGGGGAGCTGTGGGGGTGGCTGCTGCCGCAGCAGGCGCTCTGCGTGGGCACAGCCGGGACAGCCTTCCAGTAAGGTCTGTCCATCCATCCATCCACAGCGGGCTCCTGCACTCCCACCACCCTGGCTTAGACGTGCTGCATCCGCCCACCGGTACCCTCTGGGTTAGACAGGACCCTGGGCAAACACCCTCCTACGTCTTTCTTCCCTGCTGCCGCAAGCAATCTGTCACTCCTCCCCTCAAACCACCCACCACCCACACGCAAAGCCATAACTGCAAGGAACACCCTCTCTCCTTCCCCCTTCGCTCCCCACCGCTCTGTTTTTCTCAGCAGATGAAAAATTCCTGGAGATCTGGCGGTCGCCCCCATGTTTGGCTTTTGAGACCCAAGGGGTTGGATACCTTGTGGGCTCACAGCGCGGCGAGCTCTGTTTGCAGATGTATTGCCATAGTTTTTCATTTGCGTGTAATTACACAAGTGCAGGTGGGAAACGGCTGTTTGCCTCCCACTGCCTTCCTTCCTTCCACTCCTGCTCCTGGCCTCCCACGCACCCAGCGATGAGAAACGCTGCAGAAGACTGACCAGCCACCAGCCCGCCCACCTGAGGAGGAGGAGCACCAGCAGCAGCAGCAGTACATTTCTCTCTCTGCTTTTTAAACACAGTTAAAAAGAGCTGCAGTGTGGGTGGAAATAGCTGTAGGGAGAGTGGGAGGGAATGGGGCCAGGGGAAAGTGAATTTTCTGTTGGTAGGACAGTTACTTCTAGTAGACTAGAAAAAAAATACTCAAGGATAACTTGCTGCTGAGAGTGTCTTCAGGCATACAATTAGTTCTTATGGCTGAGTTTCCCAGGACTGGAAAGAATGAAATGGTGTTTATTTTTCCCTGGTAGTCAAAGTGGCAGCCAGCACTCCGCACTCAGGGAAGCAAGGGATATTTGTGCTGCATCCTGTTGTGTCATCCTGTCTCTTGTTATGCTCCTGCTCTCCTGATTCGGTAAGAGTCAGAGCTGCTGCTACGTAGGAAGAGAAAAAAAAAAAAAGCATCTGGTTTTCACAGTATGGAGCCATATTTCAAAATACCACCCCTGCTGGACCTCCTGAAATAGCAGCATCCCAGAATACCAGTTAATTCACTATTTACTCTAAATCTGTGCTCTGATGAGAAATTAAATTCAGGTTTATTTATGTTAACGGGACGTTATCTGAGATACTTTGCTCGTGTTACCTGAAAATAGTACTGAAACTCGTGTTTCATTGTAAGACCGATGGCATAGAATGTTTCTTAAGAAATATCTCCGATAGAGAACTGAGGGCACACACTGGCTTTCAGGTTCTGACACAGCCTAGCCCACCTCTCTAGAAAGAAAGGTTTTCCAACATGTAATCCTAATCCAACTGTCCTAATTTGGGCTAGTTGTATGCGTTCTTTTCAATCTAGAACTGCCCATATGTTTCTCAGTCTGGCTTTCCATGTGCATTACTGAGGCCAATTGTTATATCAGGATGTGGTTTGTAGATATTCAAAGAGGTGCAATAACAGGCAACTAATGCATTTTGGGAAATTGGACTTTCAAAGTACAGGAGATATTTCAAAAATCTGGAGTGGGTCATGTAGTAGAGACCTTGAGCCCCATATTGGAGTGGTTTCTGCTCGATATAGTAACTTTCTCTGTGAAAATCCAGGGTGTGCCAAAGTGCAAAGCCCTTTCCAAGGCGCTCTCTTCCTAGACAAGACAGCAGTCTGCCGGAGCCATTTCTGAGGCTGGGGCTGCACGGCTGTAATGCACGAGGGAACTGGGCTCTCTGACTTCAGCGGCTCCCCAACCCTGGCCCATTTTCTGTAGCTCTGGAGATTTTACTCTGGCTTAGGAATGGTAGGCGTAGGCAAGAAACGCTAGTGGGCTCAGAAAGAAACGAAGTTATGATTAAGCCTAACGCAGATCTGCGTGTGTCACAACAGGAGGACCAGCTGATGGATGTACGTTGGTGAGATGAGACATGGATCAACAGAGACGTGACCTCAGTGCAACTAGCTGCCCCCATCTGTTAAAAGTCTCATTTCCGAAAGGCTTCGGTGATTAATATTGTAAGTATATCCTTATATCTTTCCACTGAATCTTATGTAACTTGTAATTATTATCTACTGGAATTACATACCCACACTGAGGAGGAAATATATTCCAAGTAGTGAGTTCGTGTCACTTGGCTGATTTACTTTAAAACATTGCACTAATTCCTTTGTCAGTGGCATTTGGAAGCAGTATTGGCACGCTTGTAATACTATCCTGCATTTAGCATTGGTTCAGTTAACTTCAAAGGTAGTGCTTTTCATACCTTTTGTATCAATGAATGTACATCAGATTTTAAATGCAGATTATACACTTATCTTTCCAGCTACTGCTAGCCTGGAATTTTCCTCAGGTGATCTATTGTGGTGGAATGATATTATTCAAGAAGTTAAAAAAAAAAAAAAAAAAAAAAAAAAAAAAGACATTTAGAACAATTTCAAGTCTATTTTAGGAGTTCAGTCATGTGTGTAGCACTGCTCTTGGCTTTCTGCCGTGCCCTGGAACTGTCATGCACTTCGGTCTTGCAGCATCTGGTACCAAACTTTGCCTTTTCAGGGGTCACAGGGAACCAGTCATTACCTAAGCATAAGAGCATCTGACGTTAATTAGTAGTGTTCTGACAGTGCAGGATGGGTACAGAGAGCACTTTGGGTGTCTGTGTTAAGAGTTGGTTGGTGCTCTAAGCCTAGGTAAGCCTCTTCAGCAAGGCAGTTTGGCTGAGAATGACAATTTCTTATTACACAGATGTGTGTGTATTTTAAACTTGACACGTTACTCTCCTGGCACCTTGCACAACTATTTATTTTCACTTGAAAAGTTCTACATTTGGCTTAGAAAATGTATTATTAAGAAGAAATGTTCACATTTCTTTCCATTTTCTTTGATTCTGAGGTGCAGCTAACACTGTTCATTAAATAATGGCTCTGAAGAACATTGCCCAGGGGAAAGTATCTCACTTAATGCCACAGATGATGCAAAGAACAGGGCAGATCAGATCAGAGAAATTAAAAGTCAGGAAGAAAATAGGTCAGGAGAATAAAGAGAGGTCCTTAAGCTATTTAAAAGTAAGCATTTATCATTCGTTAGCAGATATATTCTGCTCTGAAGCATAAATTACCGGGCTCCATTACGGCGTAATTGTGGGCAAATGCTAACTTCAGTGCAACTCAATGTAGCAGATTCCCATAAGTAGGTGTAATTATTAACCTCATTGAAAGAATGTATAGCAAGGCAGAAGGGAACGTGTTTGTTTGTTTGTTTCAAAGAAACATTGTCGTTCCGGGTCATCAGCTTTTCGCAGAGGAAGTGATGGGGGGAGTGCTTGGCTCCCACAGCCCCGCGCACCAAGTGCTCTTCTGCAGGGGAGTGCAGCTCGGTGAGGAAAGCAGCGGCAGCCCTGGCAGGGCGCAGCACGGATCTGAACTGTGCACAGGCAGCTATGCAGTCATCAGTTCTCTTTGTCATCTCAGTCTTCTTTTTCACACGGCGGTTTTCGTGATGCCACGGCTTCTGTCTAGACCTTCCTTCTCTCTCACTTGCTCTGTCTGTGACAGCAGCCAGCCTGGAATGGAGGTTCATGCTGCTAAGAGAAGTAGATAGGAATACATAATTATTTCAGAAATAACATGTTACACAGTGTGATTTAGTCATACTTTGACACACCTCTGTCTGCCAAGAAATAGGCAGGCACTACCATCTGAAGCTGTTGCTGAGAGCAATCCTTCAGGCTTGGGGAGCACGAAGCTGCTTCATTGTATGGATAGCTGCAGGAGCTAGCAGCAAGGTTTGGGTCTGGGGCCGTCAAAGACCTTAAAGCATGTAAATCTGTTGCCTGAATTAGAGGCTGTGCTTCTTCCTAGGGGTTGCAGCTCCATGCAGAAGTAGCTTGAGACATGAGCTGGTAAATTTAAGACTGTTTGTAAAGTGATTTCATGGACATTTCTAGCCTTTAAAAAGCATCCTTGTCGCTCTTTGTGAGCCTTTTATAACATTTACCACTGACCTGTTCTTTCCTAGTAGGAGACAGCTGCATGTTGAAGGTACATCTGTCTACAATCTTAATTACAACAGCAACATACAATTTTCAGTGTTCTTTAAATAGTCAGGAGAATCAGACATTGACAAGTAAGTCTGTAGCTGATAATGTTGCTCTTAAAATTCATTACATTAGTTGGAAGTTTTAATTAAGCTACAAGAAATAGCCAAAAGATTGCAGTAACATCTGATTTCATGTAACCTGGAAGTCAGCACGACTATTAACATGAATTGGCTGTTGGAGATAACACAGGCATTGTAGCTCTAAGTAAAGTTGCCTTGGTTATTTGGGTGTGAGCGAGTCACTTTGCTACTATGCTTTTCACATCTGCAAAGCGAAGAGAGTGACTTCTGTTGCTGTCAGTGTAATACAAGAATTCATACAAACCGGTGATGCTGTCACCCATGAGACATTACCCAGCTGTACAGAAGGAAACAGGGATGTTTCCTAGCAAAGGACAAACTGCTGTATAAACAAGTATCAACTCAACCACACTATCTCTTCCTCAGGAGTATTTCTCATCTAAGAACCTCTCATATTTATTTATTCCCCTTATTATATAGAGGAATAAAAAGCCCAGAGTCCTTTGAAGTCCCCCAGTATGCAGTGTCAGGAGGTTTGCGGTGTATTTGCACAAGCAGTCGGCTTTATTTCGCAGTAACACATTTAATTTTGTTAGGTATTCATAATAGGCAGTCATAACACTCGTAGGTAGCATAGTGACTCACTACAAAATGACTGCAACGAGGCGCTGTCATTCTGTCGCTGCGTAATAGCAGACAGAAACAGATCTCAGGAGTGTGCTGAGTTATTTCTCGAAGGCGAAGGGACACGTCCTCCCTGGGAGATGTCACTTGGTCCTGGAAGCTTTTTGCCAAAGATTTTGGTTACCCGTGCTGTGTAACCTTCACCTTTCTGTTTGCAGATCGATGGTATAATCCTTCACACGTATTTCAAACAGGGGATGGAAGTGGTGTCTCATGGGAAAAATAGTAAGAAATAAAAAATCATAGCTCAGCCGTATTTTGCAAGTGCTTTAGGTCGGAGAGTAGGTAAGTGAAAGCTCAACTCTGTGGAGAAGAAAGTGTAATTTAATCCACTTTCACCTCTCTCCTTGAGTGAAATAGTGTTCAGCCTTCCGATAGTCATTTCTTCCTTCTGAGCCTTTTGTGTATGAGCCGTGTGTATTTGTTCAGCCACTGCTGTTGCACCATCACCCACCCAGTCCAAAGGTTCACCAGTTTCCTTTAGCTAATAAATCTGAAGGTGGGTAAGATAAGGCAGGCTCTGCAAACTGAGCTCTGTTTTAATGATATGGCTATCGCTTAAGATCCAGTTCTCTGAAAGTCAAAGATACAAAATGCACTCCAGTTGAAATTCAATTATTCTGCTATTACTGTTTGAAACTATATTTGGCAGTCGTATTGTTAATTCAGAAAGTAAGGGATGTAGAGGTAGGCAGGCAGTCATTACGTCACGCAATTTATGTCCTCGCACATTCTCACTTTCACCAAAGGAAATTATAAATAGCCCAGCTTATTTGAGAATTGCCAAGATTAACAGTGTTATTGTGAGAGTGCTGTCCTTGGGGACTGGAGGCACTGGAGGCCTGCTGTGCGATGGCTCTCCAAACTGTTTATGGTAGATTGTTTACACCACTACCATCCGAATGCCAACTACAACAAAAACAAGAAACAAAAGCCGCAGAGCTAATGGCACTCACGCTCATTGCAGTGGTATAACTGAGCACTCGTGCTTCAAAGCAGGAAGGTTCTAAGGCTTCCCCTAACAGCCCCCTCTGCTGCTGCTGCTGTCAACAGCCAGGGCTGCAGAAGTCACAAGTAACTTTGGACTGATGCTCTCCTGCCTGAGATGGAACTGATATCCAGAGGGGAAGCCAGAGTGAGCCAGCAGCAGTTGTTTTCTTCCATTGCTCTGCATTAATGGACCTGCTCTTGTAAGAAACACTACTGTTGTGAGTCACAATGGCTTCAGAAAAATGCCTTCTTAACACAGTGCCTCTATAAACTATTGCTTAAAGCTAAGCACAAGAGTTAGCAGCGCTTCCCACACTTTGGCCTAATGAATTCAGTCCGTGAAACCATTGGATGATAAAGGCTATCTACAAAACAGAGCCAGCACTGACCTTAAACAATTCTAAGAATACACGATGATTCGAAAAACTGAAGGGAATATAAACTGGGGTACAAAATGCTGAAGAATTATTGAAACACTGTCATTCTAATCTCTTTTAATTGTTCACCAGATAATTGCTGTTGAAAGCAGAAAGACAAAAACCAAGCATGCAGAGTCAGATCCAGGTCACTGTCTCCTGGAAAGCAGCTGTCAGGAGCTGGGTAAGAACAGAGTAACGTGTCTTGACTTCTGCTTTCAACTCGTGATTCCTGAAACAAATGAAGTTTATGTACTGTTTAGAAGCCTCCTGATGATTTCCCTTCCACGCTCTTGTCCAGCCTCCCCCAGAACTTTTATGAACTCCTAGTACCTGCAGTAAGCATTCCCACAGGTCTAACGCCTGTCCCTGCTGTTTTTCTCCTGCAGCCATGCCTCCTACTAGCTTCATTTAATGTTCCCTAATCCATGCATGAGAAGAAAGATAAACCTGCTTTTTCCAACTCGTGACTTTGTAAACCTGCCTTTTCCCTGCTATGTTGCTGCTGTCCTGACTGACAACTTCTGTGCTCTTCTGGGCAGAGAAGTCATTTCAGACATTTGAGCATCCTTCTCTGTTCTCTAGTTCTTTACATTCTTTTGGAAATGAGGAGATTATACTGATGTTTCTTTTCCTCCTAGAATTCACACAGGATGCATGTCTTGGTTTCTCTATGTAGAAAAAAAAAATCCATATATTACGCTAGAATACAATTCCATCTTACTTTGCAGTTCTTACTTTTTTCTTCCTAAGTTCTTTGTCATTTTTTTTGGTACTAAACAGTTAACAACACACTGTAGCAATGTAACAAATCCTTAGGAAGGTAGGTTCCGTATCCCCAAACTGGCTACAATTGACCCACTGCCCGCAGCAAAGCATCTCTCAACTATTAGCAGATCAGGGGGAAGAAAAGGGAGAAAAGATTTAGTCAGTGATTTTGAAAGGCATAGCTACTTAAAATTCACACCTCGTGTGCTGATTTAGGAAGTTGCAAGATAAGGTATAAGAAAAAAAAGGTGAGACATGTTAGTAGTGTTACATAGACAGTGTTTTTCAGCTTTTTCACCTTCCTGTATTTTTTTTCTTCCCCCAACCATTTCAAAGGCACATCTTTGCAATGACGCGTCAATTTTCTGTCTACTTGAGGTTTAGAAATAGCTGGGATGTTATAAATAGATCACAATCTGCAAGAGACAAAGAGAATGGAAATGTTGTAAGAGGTTGGCTGAACATTTTAGATGCGGATTGCAATTTCAGATGTCTCTGAGAATGGAAGCACTCAGTCTGAAATGCTTTACTGAGCAGAGCAGAGAACCTGGCCTGATGTGCAGCAGTGGGGAAAGGCCAGGCGGAGTAAGGTAACACTTCTGCCCGTGGAGCCAAGCAGGGAGTGACATCCAGCCTTGCCTCAGGGAGCTCACAGCTCAGTGGTGTGAGGAGAAAGCACTTTGTCCTTCCTCACTGTAGGATGAAATGCTGGAGTCAATTGCTCCATTACACACAGCAGAGCCACTAAGTCAGAATGTGTAACTTTTGCCCTGCAACTTTCCTGTCGCTACTCATGTTGGTAGCATTGATCAAGCTTGCTCCCATTTTGCACTTTCCCCCTAAAAGGCCTTAACATCACCAGAGCATCTTGGCATGGGCTGAAAACTTGTCCTATCCAGTGAGGCAGTAAGAAAAGAATAATCAGGAGTGGGAAACAGTCTGATATTCTTTTGCTTCTGCTTGAGTAGTCCTTTAGTAAGATCCTTTAGATCCTGCTGATACTTCCAAGCTGACCATGACTACATAGAGCTGAGGTCCAGCTGCTTCTCTCTTGACCAGTTCCCCCAGAGTAAATATGAGAAGGTTTGGTGACAGTTCCAAAGTAACTCATTCAGTGGAAAGGACTAACCTTCCCAGTGGCACGTTCATGTTTTAAAGGCAAGTTGCTTCATGAAAGCAGGCTGGGTTTCACAGGAGCCATGTCATGTTGGCACAAGCTTTGTGTTCTCAGTCTCTGCCAAACACAAAGGTATATCACTAGTGCTGCACCTGGTCTGCGTCCTTGAAGTGCGTCTCCAACTGCTCTTGGCTTTTGTAGAAGTCTGGGCCAATACACACTCTGCAGAATGAGGTTCTTTAAACCTAAATTAACATTCTGTTGAAGACTAAACATATGTTGTTTTTCTTCACTGTCAACAATTTGGTTTCCAGGTTTGGAAAAGAAACATTGCTGGGGAGGAATCCAATGAATTTATTAATGAGCTGGGTAAGTACGGAACTATTAATATCTCCTGAGATCTTCTCTGTGTTAATTCTGTCTTCAGCTTCAGACTCTGAAATAAACAGATGTTCTGAAGCCTTCCTTTGAGAGTACTACTGTATGTTAGGTCCTATTTTAAATACATTGTGATTACCAGGATATTGTAGGAAATGGGTAAATAGCTGTGTACAATGCTTCTGAAACATTTTGTGCCATTACCTGAAATCTTTATCTCAGATTGCAGTGATAACATTAAAAAGAAAATACCTAAAGTGTTCCTTATATGTAAATAATGATTTTTGTTTCTAGTCATAAGTCTGAGTAGCAAAATTGAAACATGACTTTATTCTACAGTGCTGTCAGTGTACGTTAAATCTCCCGTTCATCATTTCGTGCCATGGCTGACAAAAGAGACTTCCTGTCCTGGGCACATACTAAACACATGACTGCTTCCATTTGTCTAAGCAGGTCCTATTTATTTCTCAGTCTATTCTGATCAGAGATACCACTTTGAATCTCAGTGTAACTGACATCTTTGGCAATCCTACAACACTGAGGTCCTTTGCTCTCTAAAGTGAGGAGTATCATCTCAAGAATTTGAGAAGGGCAACAGTAAATTGCCTGTTGTTTTCACATTTTGGGAAGGGGAAGAAATATTTGACCTTAAAACTGAGTTCAACTGTTTGTATCACTTAGGTGCTGCTCTATTTTAACCAAGATGTTACAGGAGGCTAACCAATCAGTTATGCTAGTGGTCCTGAGGTGAAATAGAAAATAAAAGATCAATCTGATTCTTGCAGGAAGAGGTCAGACAGCTTGGCTGACACTTGAATCTCTTTTGTATTCTGTCATTACTGGTCCTAGTTACAATTAGGCAAATTCAGCTCTAGAGAGAGCTGCCTTTGAAGTCAGTGGTGAGCCTTACCCTGAATCTGATGCCTCAGCACCAAAGGTAGTTTTCCTGTTTGTGCCACTCAAGTGGTTTTCATCACAAATCACATTTGCATGTACTGAGTAAAAGTGAGTGCTTTGGTGAGGCCTTAGGTTTACAAATCTATGTGGTAGATGACATGAATTTAATCAGGGAGTTAACCTTATATAGCTGTACTGAATTAAAAAATAACAAAACAACAACAACCATTTCAGTGAAAAACTGCTGTGACCTATCACCATGAAAATGTGCAGAGATGGGTGCATGTATCATAGTTTTAATTCTCCTTCCTGTCTCAGTCACTTTGCATTCTTATTCTAGCATCCTACTTTTTGTTGGAATACACTGTGTGTATATGCAAGCTTGCTTAAGTTTTGCAGTCTTTTCTGGGGACTCCATTACAAGAGGAAGTCTCAGCACATCCACTGATCACCTCTGCCCAGCTGAGCCTCCCTCCGTATTGACAGGCCATGCAGAACCCATTGCAGGTGTCAGTAGCCAAATGGCACAAACCTCCCTTGCTCCTGCAGGGAACATAGCAAAGGCAGCAGGGCTCTGTTCACTCCACAATTTGCAGCAGCAAAGCTCACGACAGGATCAAGGTCATAATATTTTCAGCGTGTGTTCAGTGGCATTAACGTTAGCAACACGTAAACAATTTGCTCTGCAGACAGCAAGATCTAATGAAGCTTGATTTCCTGTGGGTTTATGCATTTCAATTTTACAAGCTGCTATCTTTCCTCCATCACTTTAAAAGCCTCAGATGCCCTTTCACCCAAGTTCCCCCTCTGCTCCCCCCCTTCTCCAGGGTGATCTCAGCTTCTGTTTGGGCAAGAACAACAAGTCACTGGCCAAGGGGAGCCCATTGAGGAGTTCAAGATGTGGGCTATCCTCCCACAGAGTGCACTCTTGTCTTTCTTTCCTTGGCAGCTGCTGGTGTTCACACAACCTTGAACGAATTTAATATTTGCAAGACTGCTGCCACGCACTGAATTTGATACTTGGCAGTGGGTTCAAACGTTCACAAGGTGAGGAAAGGTTGATTGTTCTATGTTCTATAGGCAGATACTGCACAAACAGATATCTGGTTTTGAGAATGGGAAAGGCCCGTGCACATATGTTTCTGCAGCTGGCATTTGCTTTTGTGCTTTACTTTGCCTTCTGATTGTTAATGCATGCAGTACATCCAGAGGTGTTAGATGAAAATCCAGAGGAAGGGGATCCCCTGTTTCCCTGCCAAACCAGACAGGCCATGGTGATGGCAGCTCCTCATCTTACCAGCTGTGAACAAGCTGTGCTCAATTACCATCAGCAGTGCTCGTAGCTGTGCATGATTTGCTGATTCACTCTAGGACTGTTTCTCAGTTCTTCTGTCAGCATTTCTCTTTGCTGATAATATATGCTGGTAATAAAACTGCTGGCTGTCTCTGAAACAGGAGGGAAAAAACCACTTTGTTCCCCATCGTGACTGCACTTCTGCCCAGATTACCTGGGAATACCCATAAACTGTGTGTGACGAAAAGCTTCCTGGAGCAAGAAACCACTGCTGTAGTGGTTTCACCCTAATGAATGCACAGCATAGAATCATAGAATCCGTAGAGTTGGAAGGGACCTCTGAAGGCCAGCTGGTCCAGCTGCCCTGCAATGAACAGGGACACCACAGCTTGATCAGGTTGCCCAGGACCTGATCCAGCCTCACATCGAGTGATTTTGTTCATGTTTTGTGCAGAATATTAAAGGCCTGATTGAAATGAAAGCTCTCCCGTTGTCTCCTGTGTGCTCTGGAACAAGTCCTAGCAGCACAGATCTCACCTTCAGCTTATCTTTCTGATCTGACTGCTGTAAAGTATCTTTGTTTATTTCTTTTTTTGGCCCGCAGTTAAAAGCTGCTGGAGGACAGCTGAATATTTGGTGTCAGCCGGAAATTCCTGATTTCAAAGCACAGCCTTTGTTCATGAAAGAAACCAACCAAGAAGCTTTACTATAAATTAAAATATGAGCTCCTAGAAACCATTTCCTTATGGGGCTCAGGTACTTTACCTTTGCCATTACTGCAAAATATCAGCTGCATATATCATACTGACGGCGTCAGATGGTTTTACATAAAAATTTTGTCTGTGCTGTGCTGCATTTGCTTTATTTTTGCTCTAACCCACGAAACAAGTCAGCTGCTTCCAGAGTCAGCTGACACCAAGTCCTTCCCAAGCAAAGCCTACTGTTAGCAGTGTGCATCTCCAGCGATAGTTGTTGGTAATTTTATCCTATTCTTTTTATAACTACTTTGCTATATGTTTTTCAGTTTAATTGGGATTTTACTTTATAGCCTTGTAAAATAACGAGGTGTTTGTAACTGTTTAGTGGCAGACTCACCGTGATGGGGCACATGGGTTGAAATCTGTAAAACATAAAATAAGCTTGTAACCAAAAGCCCATGCAGAAATCCACAGCAATTCTTTCTGTTTCATTGAGAAGCTGTGGGTTCATAATACAGAGCTTCCTAGATGGGGTATATTGGTGTGATATAAAGCAGTGTTTTTGAATATTCCAGTGTCCCGTGGTAAAGTATGAGTTTATTGGTATTCGTTATAGAAAAAACTTTGGCTGGCTGTTGTTCTTTTCATTTTGTAACACGTTCCTAAACAACATTTCATGGTGTTTTAGAGCTTGATTTCCTGGGGAAAAATCAGATAATCTTTTAACTGACTTCGCTGTAATTCTACAATGATTTCATACTTTATACTAGCGAGTGTTTTAATAGAAAAGCTTGTACTTTATGTGACTTAAAACTGTATTTCTTCTTCTCTGAGCTCTCTTTGGCCAGAAATGCATAGGCTTTCGAGAAAAAAAAAAAAAAAGTAAGGTGCAATTTAGTGCAATGCAGCAATTTCGCCATTTCTGCTAATCCTCATTTTTATAGCTGACAGCACGGAGCAGGGGCTGTCTGAGCAAGCGTCACAACTTCCGACGGGCCGCAGTCCAGACCTTCACGCAGCCTCAGCGAAACAAATCGCCGCGCCGAGCTCCCTTACTCTCGGGTCCGCTCGCTCGTCCCCCGGCTCTCCCCGGGCCGGAGGCGGTGCCGGCCGGCTCCTCCCTCCCGCAGCGCCCCTGCGCGCCGGCGGCGGCCCAGTGTCGGCGGGGCCGGCTGGGGGGGGGCGGGCCTGGTGCGCGGAGCCGCCGCCCGCAGCAGCCGCAGCCGATGGTGCGATGGTGCCGGGCCGGCGCCCCCCGCACAGCCGCCTCCGGGCGAGGTGAGTCGACGCGGGGCCGGGCGGCGGGAAGCGGGCGCTCGACGCCGGGCCTTCGCTTCGCCCGCCGCTTCTCTCCGCGCCGAGCGCCGCTGGGCTGCGTGCCCCGGGCCTCCTGCGTGACCGCCTCCCGCTCGGGCATCTCCGCACCGCTGTGCCCGGCCGTCGATATCGCTGTCGCTGTCCGAGTCTTCCAGCCCGCGCGGTGCCGGGCTTTGCGGGAGGCAGCGCCGTGCTGTCGTTAAAGCGGTGGGAAGGCGGCCGTGCGGGAGGCGCGCTGCGTGCTGCATCCCGGCGCGCCCTGGCGCTCGGGCCGGCGGTGCGGAGCCGTGGCGGCGGGCGGCTCGGCGGGGCTGTGCCGCGGGAAGCGCTGCCGGCCGCGTGAACGCTCGCGGGTCTCGGGAACGGCTCGCTCTATTCAGCGTTGCGTTACCCAGGTTCGCGGGGTCTTGTTGTCCTCTGCTATTAGAGAAAGCCGTTGTCGGGTGTTGGCTGGCGAGCTCGGTTATTGCTTGGATTTGTTTACTGGGTGTAAACGAGCAGCGGGCAAAGGGACTTCCGTGTGACTGCGTGTGCTCTGACGGCCTTAGGGGCACGGAGGGGGAGCGAAACAATCCCCTTCCGAAGGGCGGTGCTGCTCACGACAGGCGGCGGCCCCGGCGCGGCCCGAGCGGCTCGTAGGAACGAAGCCACGCAGGTGAGAGAGCTGCGTTGCTCACGGGTGGAGCTGGTGCCACGGCACTCTGCGCGGCCTTAATTTCATCTGGCTAAACCTGCCGCAGCGCTCTGTAATCCGGGCTGGGTGCTGCTGTGCTTCGGGTGCCCTGGGCCACACGGCTGGCTGCCGTGGAAGGCACCTGGGTGCTGGCTGCCGGGATCCAGCTGCAGCTGTTGCCAGCAAACTGGAGCTGGGAGCATGCTGCTGACAGAAAGTGAACCGTTTTTAAAATCATGCACTTAATAGTCTAGTTATTGGTATTAGTGATGTGCATAGTCGCTATTACTGCTTTTCTTTCACTACTTAATATTATGTGGAGAGTTTCCTACTCTATACATCCCAATTGGCACACATAAAATGGAAAACGGGGCTAGGAAAGCAGGAGTCCTGAGATGTGAGTTTGATGGTTCTGCTTTCACAGACCAGGCTGACAGCAGGCTTATCTTCTTTAATGCTATTGCCACCACTGTTGTATCCACTTAGCAACTTCAGACCTATTATCAAGTGCTTTAAACCTACTATAAACCTGCTCTTGCCATACTCAGACATACTTGAGTCTCTCAGTCTAATTTGACAAAGCCTGTCAAAGCATGAGGGGTTTCATGTGCATACTGAGAGGAGGAAAATACCTGCATAGACCAAAACACAAGGCACGCGCATGGTAAGGAACACAAAGTAACTTAAAGAGTTAAACACTACAGAGTGAGGTGGTTTCGCTTCTTGGAAATGCTAGTTGTGGTAGGTAATGTTAGATGCACTCACTTCACACCTGCAACATTTCTCAGCAGTGCAGAATTGATTCACTCTGAGCCCTAGCTCTGGTGTTATGAATTCAGAAGGCAGGTGCTGGGATGGGGCAGCAGGAGGAATGGCCCTGGGAGAGCAGGAAGGGGCTGCTGTGTGGTATCCCCTGGAGCCTGGAGTACAGGGGGGGAGTGGGACACAATGCCTGAGTACTGAAGGACGGGCTCTCTTGACTCTTCTATCACAATATAAGTTGTGTGCATTACTTTCTCCTTTTGGGCGTGAGATGATGGCACCACGCTGCTCTGTCGGGGTAGAACTTAATTGGAAATGGAAGATGTGATCTGTCATGTTTGTGACAGCCTTGTAGGCCTGCTGTATGCAGGATTGAATGCTGAGAGATGCCAGGCACGTGTGGCTTTGGTGCAGAGGTGCTGTGTTTGGGATCAGTGTGGGGGCAGGGCTGAGGAGGAGGTGCAGTACCAGGGTGCAGTGCTGTGGCTGCTGCTGCGTGGCCACAGCGGAGGTGAGTTTGCCGTGGAAGGCAGATTGTTTGTAAGTTTCCTTCTGGCGTAGAAGCTGTGAAGCAAATGTTAATTAGCAACTTGAATAAACCTTCATTGCACTTCTTAATCAGATACATGTTTTCTTTTTATGAGATTTGTTTGCAGATGTTCATAGGAGAGCTTGTACAGTTTCCCAAGTTTACAACAAACTCAGTTTTCTACTCAGGTAAAGTGAGGTGAGAAGCTTTCCCCCATGGCTGGCTTTGCTTTATTTGCACAGGCAAACAGCACTCCAGCCTGCTCTGTTCTTCCAGCTGTGTGTTGCTGGGAGGTCAGTTGCTGCTTTGGAACTCTGCCCTTGGAGAGTTTTTGGAGGCAGTATGGACATAGCCTGCTTTCCAGGTGCTGGATGGATTGAAGCTACTCTTGATTGTCTGCGTTCTGATGAACTGAGGTGTGGCTGATGAATTGTTTTAATTCAGTACACATTCAAACCCTGACTATAGGGCTGTTAAGGGTTTTGCTTTGAGAATCCTAACTATAATTTAGTTATCAAATCTTAACAGATGGAATATTGGTGCTGAATGAAGCTTTATTCACAGCACTCTTCCATCCCAAATCTTAACTTTCTGTTGGTTGGCAGATGGAGTTGTCATGCTGTGTTTTTAACCCTGTAACTCCGCTGTGGTGTTTCCCCTGTGAGGATTTGTTTCCTCAGCCAGATGTGCTGGTCAGCACTGAGTCAGGGCAAAGCTGTTGGTTTGGTTACTTTCTTTCTCCATGTTTTTGGGACGAATAGCTCTGGAGTGTGGAGTATGCTGTGGTATCCTGACAGCCTTTGACCCCAAACTTCGTGCTTCATTCTGCCTTGACCAAGTTAGAATTCCTGTTCATGCCAAAATCATTGTTTACTTTATCAGCCTTTTCTTCTTGGTGCTGTTCTCTGCTGCTTTCAGCTTGCTGGTAGCACTGTCTTCTGTCCTCTTGCTGTCTTGTGAATCAGAAAACGTTTTTGCAAAGTGAAGCTGTAGTATTTGAAGACTGTGGTTAAAATAACAGGCAGACACCTTGCTGTTTTGTAAAAGACCTTTATTTTTTGCCACCTGATTGATTTCCCTGCACATTCAATCCCTGTCTGGCTTGGGGTTTTTTTGATCAAGAGAAGGAAAGCCAGACAGATTAGTAAGGTTTCTGGGGATTTTCAGTAACAATACCACTTTGCTGGCTCTCTCATTTCCAGTTGCTTATTTTTAGAATTTAAAAATTCACAAAATAAAATCACTTTCAAAACCTGTCTCCCAAACAAACTACTGATCAAAACATTAAGGAATGCCATATGGCTTCTACCAGTCTTGGTGCTGTTGTATTTCTGAAGAGTATGTTCTGTGTTATTAATAATATTCAGTGAAGCACTCTCAGGATGGGAAAATATTTACTGAAGTGATTACAAAATATACTTTTCATAGCATTCTTATTTAGATGCTCTAGTCAGCATGCTAGCAGTGTTGGGTTCATCCTGGCACACAAGAAGAGGATGGATGTTATGGCTCTTGAAGTCAGGAGGAGTGGAAGAAGACCAGCAATATTATCAGTGCAACTTAAGAAATGGTTGTCCCATTCCAATACAAAAGGGAAGCTGATTTAACAACCAGATCAAATACAAATTGCTTCAAAAGTCTCTAGTATAGTTGATACGGAATCAGGTGGTTTTGAGTTTATACGTTCGGAAATGGATGGCTGTTGAGTTCACATGAAGGTAATTTGTGCTTGGAAAGAAGCTGTCTTGTTATCCAGGTGGTTAAGAGGGAGTGTGCTTTTGTCATGGGGACCGCAGGAGGAAATTTGTTCTGAATAAAGGAATGTTGTAAAGCTTTGGTGCAGCTGGTAAGCAAGCTGCTGCAGGCAGGTGAGCGTATACTGCTTTGCTCAGGGCAGGAACAGCTCTCTGTCCTCTGCTTCCTCCCCTTGCTGTAAGTGGAGCTCTGCACAGTTCTGGAGGTTTTGTTGTTAAAACAAGGCAAGGCTTAAAGAAAATAAAAGCACAGATAATGGCTGATGTAATTTACTCATTAGAAGGACTTGTTTTGTGCATAGAGAGCCTGAAATGAGTGAGCAGGTTGAGCTAGAAGCCCACAGTCCTTCCAAGTGTCAGGTGGAAGTGGCTGGCTGAACTGGGAATTACAGGAACTAGTAACGCTGCTGCTGGGTTTTGGTGGGTAAGAGCAAGGCAATGTATTTCCACATTTGGCTGTGCTAGCAACTTAAATAGAACGTTCTGTCTAATCTGTTGCCACGTTGTTTGTTTATTTTCAATCAGAAGTCTCTGAAGTTTTTCTAGGGCAACTGGAGGAAAAAAGCATTCTGTGTGTATGCACGGGCATTGCTTTGATTAACTTCTGACCTTGAACACGTGAATATTTACAGTTCCAAGTTTTGTATGTAACCTTTTTTGCCTAAGTGAAACCAGAGATCCTTGTAGATAATATCCCGTACAAATGGCATTGAAATGTGAGGAGCAGAAACCTTGGGGAAGTTTGGAATCTTAGTGGTGGTATTTTTACACTTGTGTGATGCTGAACTGTGTGAGGTTTAGAGTATTTTAATGGGCTGTTGCTTTAGAGGTGTCTGAGGCTTGTTCTGTCAACTGTTGGGCCAGATGCAGCTTGGATCAGCAGGAAATATTGAATTTAATATCTGTGTGAATGTTAGCCTCTTTTCTGTTATTAGCCTTTCATTTCATAGGGAAATTAAAATAGCACTTAATTGCCACAGTAACTTTGAATATATAAAGTATTCTGTCTCCTAAGCATGAAAGAGAATATGCTGGGAGAACAAGCAGTCACAGCACTGGTCATAAAACACGTTTTTCTTGATGCTACTATGTACCAATAATCAAGGCAAATGGCCTTCCCTGCTCTAATAACTGCCTTTATTGCTTAGGGAAGTCACTTCAAGGAAAAAAAGTAAAAAAGAATCCATGTTTGTCCTTGATGACTGACGTAGCAGACCTGTTCCTTCATCATGTTGTGTTTTATTTGCTTGCAGGGTAGCCCTGGTTCCTTGAGAGCACACAGAGTATTGGATGCTTGTGGTAAGCCATGGCAGCTGATGATAAGGTTGCCATTTTAACCGATGATGAAGAAGAACAGAAGAGAAAATATGTGCTTGCTGATCCTTTCAATGGCATTTCTAAGGATCAAGACTTGCATCCCCAGAATGAATCCCCTTCAACAGAGACAACCACTGTCCCAGATGAAGAGCTAGACTGGTTAGAAAAGCACTGCGTCAAAATCAACAACGATCTTCTGATCTCAAAGGTCTTCTATTTTTTCTTCTATTCTGCATATGGCTCTCTCTACCCCTTGCTCCCTGTATATTACAAGCAGCTGGGTATGTCACCCAGTCAGAGCGGACTTCTGGTGGGCATCAGGTACTTTATTGAGTTCTGCAGTGCTCCCTTCTGGGGAGTGGTAGCGGATCGCTTCAAGAAAGGGAAGATTGTCCTTCTCTTCTCACTTTTATGCTGGGTTTTATTTAACCTAGGGATTGGATTTGTTAGACCAGCCACCTTAAGATGCGTACCAAAGGGCCTTCCCCCAGCACATCCCACCAATGCAAGCAGCCTTTTAACTACCATTTCACAAAACGCCTCCGTGTCATCTGCACTAACAACCGTGAGTACTGCGTCCCCAAAAGTTCGTGGGAAGAGAGACCTGCTCACTTCCAGGCCAGTCACGTTGGGAGCTACAGGGACTGCTACTCCTGAAGTAACATTTCTGTTACCTACACGGAGCGGTGATGTGGAGTTTACCTTGGAAAACAGTACTCATTTGATTTTGAAAAACACCACTGTCACCACCTCACTGGGGAACGTGACCCCAAGCACCACCCCATCTGCCACCACCACCAAGCTGTTACCTTCTGACCAAGCCATGCTGGTTTATGATCAACAAGAAGTAGAAGCCATCTTCCTGCTCATTCTGCTGGTTGTCATCATAGGAGAATTTTTCAGTGCTTCCTCTGTCACTATTGTGGACACGGTGACTCTGCAGTACCTCGGCAAGCACCGGGATCGGTATGGCCTGCAGCGTATGTGGGGGTCTCTGGGCTGGGGGCTGGCCATGCTCTCTGTGGGAATCGGCATCGACTATACCCATATAGAAGTTGCCATTGAAGGTCAAGGATGTAAAGCTCCTGAATACAAGAACTACAGAATAGTCTTCATTGTTTTTGGTGTTCTGATGACAATGGCATTAATTGTGGCCACCCAGTTTCGATTTCATTATACGCACTTCAAGCAAGATGAAAATAAGAAAAAAGAGGTGGAAATACCACAGGTGGACAGAAATGCCTCCAACGAATCCTCTGACAACACTCCTACAACCAGTATGAGCCAATCACAGTCTTTCAGTTTTTGGGACCTAATAAAACTGCTGTGTAGTATCCAGTATGGCTCGGTGCTCTTTGTGGCGTGGTTCATGGGCTTTGGGTATGGCTTTGTGTTCACCTTTCTCTACTGGCACTTGGAAGATTTGAACGGTACCACCACTCTCTTTGGAGTCTGCTCTGTGCTCAGTCATGTGTCTGAGCTGACTGCCTACTTCTTCAGCCACAAACTGATTGAGTTGGTTGGTCATATCAGGTAAGGAGATGTTAGCTGCCGTTAAAGAACTATATATGAGTGAATTTTTAACAAGTTAAATTTTAAGCCCGGCCTTCTGATAAAAAGTGAAATTCAAATGAAATATTTTATTTTAAAGTCCTGCTCAATTACATAGATGCCTCATGGAGGTGTTTTTATTATTATTTTAGGAGCTGAAAATGTTCTGCAGTGCTTCCTTAGCATTTCAGTTGCACGTTAGTGCATTTGTTATTTGTGGCACCTGTAACCTTTTGTAGACATTTCCTAGCTCTCTGATGGGGAACTCTCTTAGAGATCACGATGGATTGCCTCCTACTCAAGGATTGTCTGTTCTGAAATATAATTGTACAGTTTCTTCCTGTGAGTAGCAGCGTTCTGGAAACCTCCTGCTTAGCTCACTTCTCCCTGCAAGGCAGCCTTTGCCCCCGACAGTAGCCTGCATAGGTGTTACTTGCTTGCTGAGAGGGGAGGAGGATCGGATGAAGCAGTGAGGTGAGCACCTGCTGTGTGCTTGCACTTGTGATCAGGCTCAGGGTGTTGGCAGAATGAGGTTGCAGCTTGGTAGTGTTGCTTACAAGTTCAGTTCCTTGCTCTCTTCCTGTAGTTGCAACTGCATGTGTTAGCTACTGAAATGAGATAGTTTCTCACTTCTTTTTTTTTTTTTTTTTGCCAGGTTGAAGTGAAATTGGTTACTTCTAGCATGTAATAATGAACATTGTATCTCTCTCAATTCACAAGTTACTTAGTTTCTGTATATTCGAAGTCCCTTTTCTTTAAAAACAAACAAACAAACAAAAACATTAGAGGAGGAAAGGCAGTGGTGAATCTGAGCTGATGAAGTCATAAAAGTTGTTTTTGTATGTGCTTAATGCAAGCGAGTACAGATAGATCTCTCTGTGTTGTTAGCATGTCTTTTCCAGTTGCCCTTTTGTAATCACAGTCATTGAGAGGTCTTGTGTAAGCTGATTGTGCTGGTTTTTTACACTCTGCTCTGTGTTTTTGCTCTTTGCTTTTTTCTCTTTTCATTTGCTCTTATAGGGTTGAGTTTCTTTGATTAATTTCATCTCTACTCAAAATGTTTGAGATACTTAGCATGGTAACTTGAGAGTTTACTTAATAAATGTTTTTTTGTTGTTGTTGTTCCTTCCTTTAAACTCAGGAGTTTAAAATTAAGGAGTTTTATATTTACTTTGAGTCAGTTGTTTAATTTCTGAATATAAGAACAATTAGCTTGAGAGAATGTGACACTTAGTGTGCAAAGACTGGAGGAAGGATATGGTGATGGAGGAGTGGTGAGATGAGATCACTATCATGATAGCTAAGGATAGCTTTGGGTATATTTGTTCCGTTTATGTTGTTGTAGTGTGAAATTTAGGCTGGGACTTCAACTAGAGAAAGAAGAAAATCCAAAAGAACGAGTTTTAGACAAGCCTACAAGAGAGGCTTGTAAATAAGATGGCATAAAAAGGTAGGGAGGGGGATAACAGCCCCAATGGACTTTAAAGGGAAAGATGATGTACAGGGTTAACTGTTCTTCATTTTTCCTTTGTGCTAGTAAGCCTAGGAAGCCAAGATTGGATCAGTGTGAAATTGTTACAATACTGGCTTGTATTTGCAGTGATACAACATTCTGTATAATTATACTTGGGAAAAGCACATTAGTCATATTTTATCATTATCTAATGCTTACTCATATTTAGTCATCGCAGTTGGAGAAGTCTCTTTCGAGGTGTCCTTTTACTTTTTAACTAAACTTGAAATCATAATATCATTAAGGTTGGAAAAGATCACTAAAAGATCACTGAGATCTTCTAGTCCAATCAGCCCATCACCACCACGTTTCTCAGTGCTGCTTCTCCATGTTTCTCGAACACCTCCAGGAACAGTGACTCTATCACCTCCCTGGGCAGCCTGTTCCAGTGCCTCATCACTTTTCTTGAGAAGAAATGCTTCCTAACATCCAACCCGAACCTCTCATGACACAACTTAAGGCTGTACCTCTTGTCCTATCGTTAGTTAGCTGGGGAAAGAGGCCAGCCCCACCTTGCTACAACTTTTCAGTGTCTGTAGAGAGTGATGAAGTCTCCCTTGAGCCTCTTCCAGGCTGAGCAATCCCAGTCCCTCAGCTACTTCTTGTAAGACTTGTGTTCCAGACCCTTCACAGCTTTGTTGCTGTTCTTGGGCACACGAAGCTATTGATAGTTCTGTGTACGTCACGTAGTTGCTGCTGTTCTTTCTAGTACTAATAAGAAAAACAGTCTTCAGCTGCACGTCCTTCTCAGAACAACCTGAGCCATAAGCATTCAGGATGCGTATCTTCTCTTTCCCCTAGTGCCTCAGAATTCCTTGTTTGTCATTTTGGCATCCAAGAAGTTACGTGGTTAGAGCAATTCTGATGTAAGGTCTTGTAGGAAATAACAATCCACAGCAAGCTGTGAATATTTCACAGAGTATTTCAGTTATATTAGCGGTGGCTTGACTTCTCTTTTTGGTAGGATGACTCAAGTGCTAAGGTTGTTTCATTTTCTGTTGGTTTATGTCAGTAAATTAAAAATAATATATATGCACGCTTTCTCTTGAGTTGCTAGAATGATAGGTGTGGACAATCTTTCTGCAGTATTTCTTAGAACAGTATCATTCAATCTTGCCTTCCTGTCCTAATTCTTTGAAGACAGGCAGGGGTAGCAAAGTGGCTTGCGCTGTCACGGTGACAGAAGTGTTCTTGGTAGAACTGAAATAAAATGAACTTCACACCCGTGATAGATGTAAACTCAGTTTTCATTTTCTAACTTTGTGAAGCTTTCTGTGTCTACCACTATATGTGTTAGCAGATCAGCTGCTCCCCACGTTCTTGAATCACAGAATCCTTAGAGTTGGAAGGGACCTTTTAAGGCAGTCTTGTCCAGCTTCCCCATGATGAACGGTGACGTCCCCAGCTGGATCAGATCGCTCAGATTGCAGTTTCACGGGTTGCTGTAACTACTGCTGAAGTTGTTGTCCAGGCATTTTAAACATGACCATACTGAATAGATGCTGATACAGTGCCTTATTTCTGTCTCCATAAGCTTTCCTGTTGACACATACAGGCACTGCATGTGGGCGCACGTTACGCATGCAGCTGATGCTTCCAGCAGTGCATTAGCAGGTGACTGGGTGGACCTGGAGTCATGACAGCCAGTAGTGTAGCTAGAAAGCTGTTGTGGGGTCATATGGGTTTGAGAGGTGGAAGGAAGAGAGGTTTTTTTGCTTTGCCTCCAGCCAACCTCCATGAAACAGAGTGCAAGAAGTGTGGTGAAGGGCATCCATTCTTTGAGAGGATATGGATAAAGAAAGCACACAGAACTGGTTATCAAATATTTAGACAGCACTGCTGAGTGGCATCCTGTGTAGGAGCACTCAGGGCTGCAGCTGAGTTTAGGAGGAGGATGTTAACCTCTGAAAATAACGTCCTTGAGGTTGGGCTTGAGTGTGTTTGTCTGACCATAATTCCAGCATGTGAGTCTTGATGGGCAGCAGAGCCTGCTAGTTGTGGCTGCTAACAGCTTAGACTCTCCACGCAAATATAGATCCAATGCTTTAAATGTTTGACCTGCAAATTGAATATGCTGTCTCTGTGGATACTGCAAATAAGGTTCGCGAGAATTGCCAGTTTACGTTATCCATTTAGGTCTCATAAAGAGCCTAAGTGGTTATTGTAAGCAATTTTGAGCAGATTCCATAAATACACACAGGTTCCCATGTGATATGCCCCTCCAAAAATATAATTAGAGAAATCTTCTTACAAGTAACTGTAATTTACCTGCAACTCCATCTATATTCTAATAAATTAAAAGGTAGAATGTAATTAACTTGCTCTTCTGAAACTCTTGGTTCAGATTTGGCTCTATGTGTAACACTATGGGAAAAGCACAGGTAGCTGTGTGTGCTGGTGGTGCTGGTGAGAGGACGGAGCAGGCCTGTTCTCACCACCAGTCTGGCCATTGCAGAACTTCTTGGGAGGAAAGGAAGGAACTTCTTGCTGGGCTGGCAAAGTGGTTGGTAGATAGAAGTGAAAATAAGATGGCAGGAAGCTGTCTTAAACAGAGAGCTGGGGGCATCTGTGCTGCTGGTGTGGAGAAACAGGTGTGTGAGATGGTGCCTTCGTGTCCCCAGGTGTGCAGCACTCTGGGTCCTACTGCAAGAGGAAGGAAGAAGGGAGCCTGCAAACCCCTTAGTGTTGTTTACCTTCTGTAGTGTGACTATACATCATGGTTACATGAAGCTGGGGCTATGAGAAGGACTGCTATTGGCACAGAGGACATGAAGGGAGAGGTGAAATTTGTGCCGAGTGGCGTGCGGACAAGTTGCAGTATCTGAAATGTGCACAACTTACTGAAAGTAAGCCATACTGTCTTTGCAAATTTGTGTTGTTGCAAAAGGCTCAGACCCGGTTTTGTAATTTTGAATCTTTTTGATACAGCTGACACAATGGAAGTGATGGCACTGGTATTGTAGCTGTCAACACGTTTATTTGGAGACCTCCAGTGTTGTCAAGATGCTGCAGTTCTATGATTGCATCCCTCCAGATTTTTCAGTGGCTCTGTACCATTGAATTTAAACTCATTGTGCATTTGTGGAACAACTAATTAAGCGCTGGCACAAAGAGTATCAGTGCTTATGAGTTAATCAGTGCTTATGAGTTAATTGCCAATTGCATTTAGATCACTTGGGCCAAACCAGGAGCCAACCAAGAAACTATGTTTAGGGGTTTACTGAGGTTGCGGTCATCTTTTTTTTCCCAAGATAAATCCTGTATTGAGTGGAGTCAGTCAGAAATGTAGCTGAATATGCAACCTGGAAGCTAAATCTGGAAACTGGAAGGGAAAAGTCCTCAGATTCAATGGGTAATGCACTGTGAAAAATAGCCTCTGTCCTTCATTATTTAAGAGCTGTAACAAGAGCTTTTATGGGTTTTTTTGTTTTTTTTTTTTTTTTCCTTTTTCATCCCTTCACTCAGAGATGCAGCATCTGCTGCTTTTCAACAGGATGGTTAAGTTTTATCCTGAGGCATGTTGTTACAAACCATATTGCTTCTGTGGGATGTGTTTTTAGAGGAGTTCTGAGCAATTTGTAGATACTGGGACTATAAACTTGTATTAATTGGGGTAAAATTAATTTGTCTAATGCAAACCTGTACCAGGCTTTTGTTAAAATGCAATAATTAGTCTCTGAATGAGTTGTAAACAGAATTGTTAGGAAGGGATGCTGAATGTGCTCAGAAATGGTCTCTCTGAAGTACAACTCCATGCAGAGCATGGCATGAAGCTGCAGGACATTGAAGCCCTGTGTCTCTGCTGACCCTCCTGGTGTTTTTCCCATTAGGAGTTTGAAGAGAGTCTTAACTTGAGCGTTGTTTTGATTATGTGTTTGGGGTAAGCAAGAGGACAGTTCCCATGCAGGTGCAGGACTCAAAGGAGTTGTGTTGAGCAAGTGCTTCAGACTTGTGAAACCTCCGTGTGCCATTGATTTCTGAAGCAGCAAGGATACTTGTAACAAACCAGAAATGGAAAGTGGAAACTGCTTTGACTTGTCTTTTCCTTAATTCATCCAGAGTGCTCTATATTGGTCTTGCCTGCAATACTGCCCGCTACATTTACATCTCCTATCTGGAAAACGCTTGGACGGTTCTCCCGATGGAAGTACTTCAAGGTAAGATAGTGCATTCGTGGCCTTTTGGTTTGAGCTCCTGTGCTTATGTCTATTTTTCACCCAAATTGTAATTTTAAAGTAAAAATGTGGCGCTTCTCTCTCCGTTCTTCCTGTGACTACAAGTATCCCAGGCAGCACGGGTTTATAAAACTTTGCTGTTTATCTTGGGAAGTGCTTGACGTCAGAAGGGTGGGTTTGCGTTTGTGTGCTGTTGGCTCTTGATTCAAGCAGATCTGTGCAGGGCCAACACACCCTCTAGCTAAACAATGAGAGGGAAGGTGAGCTGGGTGCACACCTTCTGCAGATCCTGTTTGGTGATGAGCAGCAACTTCGTTGCATGCAGAAGGTTGCAGTATGAAAAGGATGCAGAGGGAAAAGATAAAAAAGGACAAGAACCCACTGGGTCGTTCTGTCTCTGTTCAGTTATTCTGCAGCCGTTTTTCAGGGGCACTGTTTGATCAGTGTTTCAGACTATTGAATTTTCTCAATGGCTGGAGAGGAATTTCTTGCAGTAGCTTTGTCAGTGCTAAAAGAGCTCCTTTAAGGTCACTGCCCGTTACCAGACATAATGGGAAGGACAGAGGTCTGGTCTGTGTGAAGTAAGTCGAGCCCTGTTTGCAAGTCTCATCCTCGAACAAGTTTGTAAGGCCTTCGTTACAGTGTTGAAATATACATTGCTCTCACTTGTGTCTTGTGACATTTCTTCCTGTCTTTGTGTCAGGTACCACTCCTCAAAACCAAGAAGAATCTGAACTATTTTCCTTTCTGTTAGTACAGGAGGAATACTGAGCTGTTTGTGTCCGTAGGCCTGCCAGAGAATGGCTGATTGAAATGCAGGGAGTGTTTTCCTCGCCTTTAAAAATAACATAGCTGTCTTTGTTAAAGCCAGTATTGTGATTTCATATCGTGCTGCTTGGAAGATCTTCCACGCATTTTACTTAGGAGCTTTATTTTGAGTGTAGCACGATTTGAGCTTGCAGTATCTTTTTCTGCTATATATACAGAAATCTTTTTCTGTGAAAATTGAACTTAATTGAGGTGTCATTGGTGAGTGTAGATTCCTACTGACACCGAAATAAATTTGCATCCTGTCTCCTTCTCTGCCTGCCACCAAGACCTAATCTGCTGTAAGAGTAAGCTTCTGAGTTTTGATACAAAAATCCCCCAAACCACAACAATTGAACCATTGCCTCCCTGTCACACGAAGTGTTGAGATGTGTTTATGTGACCAAGAGCACGAAAAATGTGTATGTGCTTTAGTTCCTCCTTGAACATCAGTGGGAAGCAAACGATGAATACAGAGGTTTGGATGTTACTGTGTAAGTAAAGCTATTATAAAGATGCTTGAACTCCAAATACAGAGGAAGATTTTGTGTCTCAGCAATCCAGCCCAAAGTTTGTGCCTGGAAGCATCGAGGCTGAAAAAGTAGTTTCTTTATCTTTGCAGCTTGTTTTAATTCTACTGAAATTCCAGGTTGTTTTGTTTATCGTGTGGGTTTGTTTTTACAGCAAGGCTGCAAGGGAGCTATTCTGTTTCTTTTGTGCTGTACTCCAGAGTAATGTGAAATTTACCCAAGAAAAAGAGAAGTCCCTGCAAAATAGTACTTCCTTACACATTTATCTGCCAGCTCTTATTTCTGTCCAGCCACTGCTGAATCATGTACCCTTGGGTTTATTTTGCTTTTTGCAAAAAAAAAAAAGAAAAAAAGAAAAAAAGAGAGAGGTTTGCAGCTATTCACAGCCAGAAAAGGAGAAAGCTGAAAGTAATACACAGAAAAACCAAAACCAGCCCATAACCTCGTTGTGTTCTAAGTGCACATCTCAGCCTGCATCTGCCCTGGTGTGTTAGCATCCGTGCAGCCTGCAGGCACAGTGTATGTGTACCTATTGCTGACCCTGCGCTGCGGCATCCATTGCCTTGCAGTAATCTCATTCAGCCTTGCTCCATGGTAGAACAAGTTCATCTTTTTGAAGTACGCTTGGCTTTTTCTTTTCTTTCCTGCCCATGAATCCCTTCCCCTCCCTGCTCCTACTGGTCTTTCTGACTCATTTTTTCTTCTGCAGCATTTACCACATCCTTTACTTTCTGCATGTGTCATTAGAGCTAAGTGACACCTTCGTGAAGTTTGGTGAGGGAGGAGCTTGAATTTATTACATGAGTTTGTTGACAGAGGTAAGAGTTGTGGCTGCTTTGTGTACTTGAGGGTAGAAGTATTTAAAAGCAAAAAAAGGTTTCATTGTGCAGTGCGTGTGGGTACCACGTGTGCCATGTGACTGCATCAAGTTGGTAGGTTTCTAAGATCCCTTTGTGGAGTCCTAGCAGCAGTCAAACATACCTCTTCCTCCAGGAAGCTGCCAGATTCTGTTTGCTCCGGTACACTCAGCTGAAGGGATGGTAAAGGTCAACAACAGTTTCAGCTGACTCTCGATTTATTTTTCTTCTTAAGAAGCTTCTGAAATACAGGGAGGATTATCCCCTTGTGCTGTGCTGAAGGGCATGGAGAGATTTCCAGAAGATGACTCTGCAGACCACATCTATTGATGGCAGTAAGAGCCATGTGGCATTTCAGTTGCTGTCAGTTTAACTGGGGCAGCAAGGACTCTGCAAGCGTGTTACACTCTTGAGAAACAAAGGAGGAGATTTCAGCCCAGCTCTTAAGTCACACTTTGGAATCTGTAGGATTTGTTTGTACATGCACTGTAAGAAAACGAGACCTTAGGCTGAATCTCTAAACTGAAAATGTCAAGACACTCTGGTGGGTAGATACCCACAGTAGACACAGACCATCGGCCTGAACTTGCAAGAAGTCTTGTTCATTTTGCAGTTCACAGACCAAGTTTTAATGTATTCACTACCTGCAGCTTATTGTTCACGTTGTTTCAGGGCGATGGTCCAAATTCTCTTTTAACAGCTATGCCAGCCAGCTGAGTTGCACAGCACACCTTTTCTGAAGTACAGAACTGCAGTAATAACCTGAAAATAAGTGATTTTCACATGGCTGTAACCCACCCAATTCTAGCAAGTACTGTTCTGGGTGCTGCCTTCTGCAGCAGGTCTCTGTCTGGAGAGCAGATAGCTCGAATCCTGTGCTGGCTATGATTAGAAAAGATCTCTCTTGAAATAAATGTTTCTCCCAACATTTTCAGCTGTGGGTTTGTATGGAAAGCACACTGTTTGCTAAACATCATTTTGAGCATGGCAGTGGGGCTGTTGCCCTTGTCCTTGTCAGAGTCTGAATGGTCAAATGGTGGTTAGTGGTTTAAATAAGGACTGTCAAAATGTATTTATTGTTTACAGAAATTGTTACAAGAAATGTACTTAGCAGTAATCCAAGCTAACTTTTTTTTTGTTGTAAAACCCATTCCAGAAAGTCACTTTTCTGTAATTAATTAACATTAAAAAATCACATTAGTAATGTGCGCACACATGAAAAAAGCCTGTACCTTCAGAGGCCAGTAAGATAAGCTGTTTTAAAGGGGTGGCTTTGTTTTCAGAGGAACTAGAAACTCTGTGTTCTACCTGGATCTCCCTGCAGAGGTGAAACTATCCACAGTGGTGCTGGTTAAGTACAGCCTTTTGTTTGCAGACAAACATGGAGGTTTCGTGCCTCGTGGTTCAAGTAATTTCTGGTGTGGTTTTGATTTGTCTGGCTTTATAACTTGATTTACTCTTGAATAGCTGGTAAAACAGAATGTTTTAGATTAATTGTAAAACACACTGTTTGTAAGACGTAAGCTTGTTATCTGTACTGCATTAGCTCTGCTTTGTTATTGGGGCTTTTCTCCACTCCCTGTGTGGGTCTGTATTAAAGAAAGATTGGTATTTAGTGGGTCTTAAATTCAAAGCTTTTTCCGTGGAAAGCTTGTGAGGTTCAAAGCCTTGAACTATAAATGGTTGGGTAAAATACATTCATCCTAATGTCAGCCTTTTATTTTTCGACCAGTCGATGTGCTGTCTCCCAGGCCATCTCCACAATTTATAAAAGGGGCCTTTCTGTACTCTGCTGTCTTCTAAACAGTTAACTTATTGCAGACCCCAAAACTGTGACATTTTTCTTGAGACTTGAAATGAACAGAAACTCTGCAGCTTCTTGGGCATCCAACAGACCTGAATGGTATCAGGTTCATAAGCTAGTAGTAATGTACAGCTAAGCAAAATCTAAGTTGCTGTGCAAGTATATTACAAACTAATGCATTGCCTTGCTCTGAAGAGCCCCCAACCTAAATGCAGAGTTAATTCCTGAGTGTCCAACTGTTCTTCAATAAGTTGAGTGCAGAGGACAGAAGCATGTTGACTGAGTCATCAGCTGTGCCGACACGTTTTATTAAAGTGAGGCAGCAGAGCTTAGGCATCGGTAAGCTGTGATTACTATTTTTAATACCACTGAAATAAGAATAAATATTCCCACTCATTCTGAGGGTGGCAAAATAGTTCAGGCTTATTTAACGTGTGATGCTCCAGGACTGTTTTGCTTTTCCACCTTCTCAGTGTAGCTTTTTCCTGTCCCTTCCTCCCCGCTGCCCAGACAGCCACCAGGCAGATGGCAGAGACAGGGCTCCAGCTGCAGCTTCTTCTTACACCTTAGTGGCTCAGTGGCTTTCTGCTTAGCTCTCCTTCTGGGAAGAAGAAGAGTGTGTATACCCTGAATCTGCAGGCCCAGAGGGGTGAGGAGTCTGGCAGGGAGATGTTCAAGGCACTTTAGTGTTCCCAAGGCCCATCTCTTAAATGCAGTCATCTGAGAGGGAGAAAGAGCCATTGACAGCCTCTGCAGAACAAGGAGCCCTCGCATCTCCGTGCGGATTGCTTGCCAGCAGTGCATCACCAGCACTCCATCGGTGCTTTGCAGGCAGTGGGCAGGGAGGGGCTCTTCTAGCTTCCCCTAGCAGCTCTGTGGTGGGCAGGGGACCCCGTCCTTTTCACCGTGTTCCCTCTCTCCAGGTGTCACGCACGCAGCCATATGGGCGGCCTGTATCTCCTACCTGAGTGCAGCAGTGCCCCCGGAGCTGAGGACGTCGGCCCAGGGCATCCTGCAGGGCCTGCACCTGGGCCTGGGTAGAGGATGCGGGGCAATGGTTGGAGGAGTTTTGGTCAACTACTTTGGTAAGTGATAAATGTGCTGATGAGTTTTGTTGTATTTACTGAAATTCTGGTTTTACCGGGCTGCTGGCTTACAATCTACTGATGCTTAAAGTCTTGTTGCATTTCAAAGAGTGATGTGCTTTTTGTAACTTGTGGAGTCTTAGAAGTGCTCAGGCTGGCAGGGCCTGAAGGATATCTCCAGTCCAGGCCCCTGCTCATAGCAAGGCCAGCACTGAGTTCAGAGCAGGTTGCTTACAGCCTCATTCTGTCGTTGTAGATGCATTAAATTGTATGTTATGCCTGGCTATTTTTAATGTTGTGTGGGCAAGCCTACAACCTGATCCTTAAGACAAAGGAATCCTTTGTGAGAGACTAGGCTGATACTTTGCAGCCTCTGGTGAACAAATGAGAATCTAATATTCTGTTAAAAGGCATTTGCAAAACTTCTTAAAGACGTGTGGGGGGAAGAAAAAATAATATGGTGAGCTTCTAAAAGTCTATGTGGGTCAACAGATGCTCAGAGTGTGTAATGCTGATTCATCCTGTATCATTTTCCTAATTAAATAGATTCTCAATTTAAAAAAATCTATCATTACAGGTCCTGCTGCCACATTCAGAGGAATAGGAATGGCTTGTTTAGTGATTCTTCTTCTGTTCGCACTGATCCAGTGGCTGTTGGTTCCTGATGAAGAAGAAGGTAAATATTCATGTTGCTAAAATAGATCACTAAGAGATGAAAGGGGAATCTCCAAAGATAATTCCCTGCACCGATGAATTTGTTTGGTGTCCTTACTGAGATCTTGATTGAATAATTTGATTTTGAATGAGAAATCTTTTCCTCAGCAGTGAAAGAAATTGAGGTGTGCTGCTTCTGTAAGAAGTGCAGCATTGAGTGCTTGGTTATCTACAGGAGGAAGGCATAACGTATTTTACTTCCTGGATGCCCTCTTAGTTCTGGGGATATCCTAGGTGGATGTAGTATAGTAGTAGTGTAGTACATCCTTAATGGATGTAATAAGTCATGTCTCTTGCATCAGTCCCCTAAGACTGCCATCTCAATGCTGCATACTCTCATATGTTACTGGTCCAAGTGACCTCTGCCAGAAATTGTCGAGATGGCTTCAGAGGACCGCAGCTTTTGTAGTTGTGTCTGTACTGTTCTGGTTTCAGAGAAATCTTCCCACATGTAGAACTTGAAGTTTTTATCTCTACCTTTGAGAAAAGAAAAACTTAATGCAAAGTTGAGGATTTGTAGTTCTTATAAAGGCAAGAGAACTGTGGCGTGATTCAGAAATGTTGTGAGTTGTTAAACTGCTTTTTACCCAAACGTGACTTTGCAATGTGAGGTTTTTGTAGGAAATAAAACTTACCTTCCTTTAGCTGGAGTGTTAAATGACTTGTTCTCAAGTAGATATTAAGTTGCCTGGGCTGAGGTATTCAAATATTTATTCACCTTTATTCAAATGATAATGAGAAAAATGGAAAGATAGAAAGAAGGATATTTGCTGTTTCAGTTTCCCATCAAGATCTGATTAATTACACATGAAACAACAGAATAATGGTTTCATCCTGATGGCATATTCTGTCGTTTGTTTCAGTCTTTGGTTTTCATTTAATATGTGTTCTCCCCATCTTAAGAGTGGATATTTTAATTTTAAGTATGCCAGTAATTAGGTCAATTTTTAACAATACCAGTTGGAGGAATAAAACTGAGTGTGTGGTTAAGTGTGTGCAGGATTGGCCTCTTTGTTTCTGCTCTAGTAGGGGACATCCAGCCATTATTTAAAATATCCAGTGCTGTCTAGGAGTCTGTGAACAAAATTTAGTTTTATCTTTTTGAAAACAAGAGCTTTTTAATTGGTGAAATACTTGGATAGAATATTTTCTCAGCATGTATGATGTGTTTTTTACAGACTCTCAGACAACGTACAGCTATTACTTAAAATATCCAATAGTTTCTAACTATCTGCATGATTACTTTTTCTTTATAAACACTCTGCCTCTTCAGGATTGTGCGACTCGCTGTGTAGGGTCACAGTAGTCATTTTATTATGGTATTTCAAGGAAGTAATGAGTACTGTTTCAGATTATGAGATGACTATAGATGTGAATATCTGCTGAGATTGAGACTTTACATCTTCTAAATGTCCAGGTACCATATTTCTAATAGCTGGCAGGGAACAAATGGACTTCTTTGTGCTCACCAGCCCCTCCTGCAGCCAGCTTGAAATCCTCTCTGCAGCTGCAGAGCAGCTTTGCTTGTAGGGACAGCATCCAGTTGCTAATTAGGTTACGGTGTGTCTGGCTCCTGGCTAGCTGTGCCTGTGCTGGGCTTTCAGCACAGTGATAAGAACACTGATAGCACAGTCACTGCGTGCTTTGTCTGCTTCATGGTTGTTTTTTCTTTTTTTTTAATGCTTGCTGGATCTAACTGGTGATTACTTTGTTTCAAACTTCAGAAAAAACAATGCTGGCAGAAAGGATCCCAGTGCCTTCCAGTCCTGTTCCCATAGCAACTATTGACCTTGTACAACAGCAGTCAGAAGATGTCATGCCTCGGACTGAGCCCAGGCTGCCTCTGAAGAAAACGAAACACCAGGAGGAACAGGAGGATGTGAACAAGCCTGCCTGGGGTGTCAGCTCTTCTCCTTGGGTCACCTTAGCTTATGCTATCTACCAGATAAAGGAGATGGTTAAGCTATCCAAAACCTATCCTATGCCTGAGAATCAGCCATTGCAGGTAATTTTCTGTTGCACAGGAAATTCTCGTGTACTGGGAGGCGCTTGAAATCTTTTATAGCTGGGGAAACCTAATAGTACGTGGCAAGTATTCTCTGTCAGTGCATAACAAATTCAGAACTGGGAAACAGTAGCTGAACAACTGTATGAATTAGTGTTGCTGCCTGTGTGTACTACAGCAGGATTAACTGTTTTTGCACATATCATCTTCCTGAAGATAGGAGAGGGAGACATGGAGCAAGACTATTTCTCAGGCTCAGATATACTTGAGTTCCTATGAGTTTACATTTGTTTTCATATTAGCTGGAATGTGCAGGTTTTGCATTTGCAAAGTTTACAAAGTGACAACTAAACATGAAATCTTAGAACTAATTAGGAGAGAGTGAAACACCTTACTTTATACTGATTTCTTGGGTGATGCTACCAGATTTCCATGTTGTAATGGAAATAGGAGTTCCAGATAACTACTGGTGGGCTGCAGAGCCTTCAGTTCAGATAAAGTTCATCCCTTCTTTATGTGGAGTTATACCAGATGAGAGCCATTCTGGGACTTAACCTCTCTGATTGGCAGTCCTTTCTTTATACCATTCCCCTTCCATCCAGTCTCACTTAAAATAGATTTGAAAAGTCTCATTAGCAGGGAGTAGGAACTCCAGCTGTCACCTTGTGCTTTGACTGTGTAGTCCGGAATGGAGCTGAAGCATGCTGCTTAAGGAAAGCAGGGAGATGTCAGTGCAGGTTTTAGAACAGCATGGGTAATGTGAAAGGCACTGTGTTTACCACTTGGGAAGGAGTGAGTGAAGTTCCCTCTTACGTACCTGGTGAGAAGAAACACAGAAATGCTTTTTCCACAGTTGTGTCTTCAGAAATGGACAATTTGAGGCATGACAGTGACTCAGCAGAGCAGAGTGTACAGGAGTTTCACTGGGTCAGCTCTCTCCTGCCTTTCTTACTTGTCTTCATTATTGCAAATGTGTTCACAGACGAGTTGGCTTTAATTTGTTTGTGTTGGTTGTTTGGGGCTTTTCTGATCTTCCCTGGGTTAAGGAGTGAAGTTTTCTTTGTTTTTTTTTTTTTTTTTTTTATGGGGACACCAGAGGTACTCAAGGTGTCTGACATGAAAGTAACCTGTGCAGACAAGGCTCTGGTTCACATTGGCAAGCATCCTCAAGGGTCTTGCCTGGTGTAAACTGTCTTCACATAACAATCAGAGAAGCATAGCAGCAGAGGGTGCATCAATGGGCATGGCAGGGGGAAGCTTTGCACTTGTGTGGTGCCTGAGAGAGACTTGGCTGACACTGCTGGATGCACCTGGCCACCTCACTGAGCTGTGTGAAGCAGCCACACGTGCTGTTGTGCCCACTAAGGCTCACCAGTTGCTTGGTAGAGCGTGGTCTCTTCTTTCTCTTTCCCTCCTGTAAAAATACTGATATAAAATAGTGCTGATATAAAATAGTTCTTATTGATTGTGCCAAAATTCAATGCAACTATTGAAAAGGCTGTCCAAATCTCTTATTAAATTTGGTGAATAACTTCCTTAAAAATGCACATGCAAATAGGTAATTGGGAAAGAAGGTTAACACAAAGAAACTGGAGCTAGTGGTGAAAATCCTTTGTCTCGATTTCGTTAGGATTTTGGTTCTATCTTTGCCACTGCTCACCTATCCTCCAGGCAAAGGGGTGTTGTTGCCATGTTCTCTATTCTTCTGTGCAAAACAAATATTTATAGATAGTGAGTCATCTTGTAATGTCAAATTCAGTTGTTTCGATCCCAGGGAATGAATGTACCTGGTATTTAAATGTGCTCTCATGCTCCTCAGCGAGGCCTGTTTGAATAGGCTGAATGGGAATGTAACATCAGCACTGTAGAAATTTTGCCATCCAGAGAGTCTGCACGGTGTATGGGGGAGGAAAGGAACTACTGAAGCAAGCTGTATGTAAGGAGCTTGAAAAAATGTACAGGATTGTTTCGTCATAGTAATGCTCTTGTCTGAACTTTGAAATCCAGTTAATTGCTTTTTTTTCCCTCGAAACACAACAAGTTTGTTTTTTGCATGCTTCCTGGGGAAGCGCAGTTAGGAAAAGAGATGGAAGGTAAGCAAACGTCTGCTTGCTGTTAGTGTCATCTGGATTTAAATGCACCACTTTTGCTTTCTTTCTTTCTTTCTTTCTTTCTTTGTTACGTTGCGAGCTTTCAAAGTGAGCGCTTTGTGAGTTTCCCAAAGTGCCTGAATGCACTGGGGGGGTTTGGCTGGGGGCAGTGCCAGGTGCCTGTACTCACTTTCTGCATGCAATGCTTTCCCCTCTCTTTAGAAAATCAATGAGAATTGCAATACGTTGGCCAGCTCGGAAAGGCAACCGACAGATTCTGGGCAGTCCAGAAATTGTTCGACACCAACAGCACCATCAGATTCCCAAGTTGATGGTGACCGCCTGGCATCGGACCGTGATGCTCAGCCTGCCGCCGCGGGGCCCTGAGATGCTCTCATCTTATCAAATCCAGTGCATGGAATTCTGCTTCTCACCTGGGAAACGCTGGAGTAGGAGCTCAAAAGTAGGACTTCCTTCATCTTAACGAGCATAATGTGATGCAGTGCAAGTGCTTTTAACTATATAAAAAACAATATTCACATGACTACACAGAGCAACACGAGCAGGGAAGCCAAAAGATTGGAATGCTGGAGGGAAGTGATGTGGTCGGATCTAAATGTAGGAAGAATTCTTGGCTGCTTTGCTAAGGCTTAGTCAAGTGCTATGAGATTTCTTTGCAATCTGTAGAAAAAGGAGAGTTTGCTCATCGCTTGCTGAGGCCAGAGTGCCTGACTTGGTCAGCTATTTATTTTTTGTTTTTCAATTTCTTCATGAATCAAAATGAAAAGACTTTTTAAGAGAGAAACCGAGGTTTCCCTGCTTAGCGTATTAAAGATATTGGATCCAATACATATAGAAGCAGTGTAGAACTGTAAAGATTTCTCAGAAGCAGAATAGCTTTTAGCAAGCGTAGCTTCATATTATGGTGATGGAATAAATAAAACATATTCAAAGAATATGTTTTTCAAAGCTAATGTTATCTTGTTTGACATGACAGTTTAGTTCTGTAAAGGAGAGATTTTGAAGTGGCATTTTAGTGAAGCAGAAGAGCTAGAAGAAGGCTTTTAGAGTGCTTGCAGCCCTTCTTTTGGGCGCTGTGTGTGTGTGTGTGTGTGTGTGTGTGTGTGTGTTTGGGTAACTTTAGGTTTGACGTTGTATTGAGACAACAACCATCTTTGATCAAGATTGCACAACCTGAGATTGATTGAGGTTTCAGTGGGCACACTGGTTTTCTTTTTTATTATTTATTTCATCATCTGTACAATGGTTTATTTAATGAAGTGTAGTTACTGTGCTTATTTATTAAGAAGACAGCAAGCTTTAAGTGCCTGGGGAAGGGGGGACGGGCGGGGAGAATCACCTAATAATCATAATGATTAGAATTTCAGGGGCAAAGTTGTTGATGCAGAAATCAAGTAGAGAGATTCTCAGGACGAAGCGTACGTAACTAAATTGCAGGAATTTACTTTGCCCGTTGTTGAGACACTGGAAGACTCTGGATTGTTCTGTCATACTGTTCACTAATAGCCACAGCCAGCTTCCTGGCTGGTGTGTGGTGAAAGCTGCTGCTGAAGGGAGATCCTTGGGCTCGAGGAGGAGCCAGGTGTTCAGTCAGGATAGTGTTCTGGCCCCTTGGCTTACACCCACAGCTTGTTGTTGGGAGATTCTGAGCACTCAGCTTCTGCAGGACTCGAGTAGGTACTGCTCAGCCCTCTGTGAAGATGTCAGTGTCAGCCTTCCAAGGGATGGTGCGTGCTCCTGGACCGTGTGGCCTGCGCAGCGATGCAGGGGCAAGCAGCATGGGGTTAGGGGAGAGGAGGATGGCAGCAGCTGAGCAGGAAAAGGGCATACACAGCTTCATCTGCTTTGACATCCACTTAGCTGAGGGGTCTCCTGTAGCTGTGCTTTAGCTGTGCTTTTAGAACAACCTGTGTTCTGCTTGGGACCAACACCATAGAAAATGAACATCGATGACTAGCCACTAATTACTTTTTTTGCACTTGAACTTACATGTACTGTACTCACGTAAATCCTCATGACTTGTCTAAGTGTCCTTTAAAATCAGAGATGTATTTATTGTATGTTTGTATAACTTGGGGGAGAACTAAAGGACTGAACAGGCGACAGGACAGAAGGATGCTAAAAACCATCTTGAGACAAAGCAACCATTTGTTGAGTTCATGCTGTACGGTGTTACCTCAGCTTCTACTGCATAGCACCTGGATTGTGAGGTGAAGAGCTTGTACACTGTGTTTACACTTTGGAATTGTTTCTTTGAAATGCCTGCTCTTTTTGGAATTGTATAGTTGTTCTGTGTTGCAAAATGGACATGTACACTGGGTTTTGATATTTGTGAAACTGTAAAAACTGTGGTAAGAAATATAAAATACCCATAATGTATTTAATAGCATCAGTTTGAACTTTTATTATGTGTGTTTGTGTTGTGGTACTGCAGTGAACATAACCACCAGCACAGAAGATAACTCAGTGAGAATTAACTCCTCTAGGTTTGTTCCTTGGAGGAAAGCAAACCTGGAACTTGGGAACTACAGTCTTTCCTGTGATAAAGTCAGATTGCAGGCATAAATTTCCTTCAGTGGGTTGAGGAGAATGTAAGGGGTGCACATGGGTGTGCATCATAAATAGGGTGATATGGAAGTGGGCAAGACTTGAGGAGCAAAAGTCTGAGCTGGTTATGCTGGTCACCCAGCAGTTTGGAGATAGAGGCTCCTGAGGGCAGGCTGTGCCAGGTTGTATGGAAACATGTCTGTTTTGGTCAACTACACGTATTTGCAGTAATACATCTGTTCTGTATGGTGGTGCCCTTGCCTGGAATCTATTTTATTTAGGCATAGGAAAGTTCAGTTTTTTACTGTGTCAGCTGCTTCATTTGTATGCATACAAAAGCTGAGACAAAGAGAGATCTTTGGGACTAAGTTTTGCTCTGAGGTTCTGATGTGTCATGAATGGAGAAAGGGAATGGCAGACTCCTCCAGGAGGATGGGCGTGAAGGAGGACTGTTGTGGAGAGGCCACAGCTAACATGCAGCTGGGGTTTCTTAAATCTGCAGTGGTGGAGGGAAGTTGAGGACATCCACACACGCCTTCACTTGGCTCCTTGTCTTGTTCTTTTCACAGTGACTGCGTAAGGGCAGAGAACCACGTCTTGGAAAAGTACTTTTATTTAAAAATGTTGAAAGTAAAAGACAGTAGGTGAGAATGGTGCACCACGAATACAAAACAAATACAACATTTTAACTCTTTCTTAACATGGTGAAACAGGAGATAAACGTAACTCATCCTTTGTTAAGGACAGTAGGCTTCTATCATAGGTAAGGCAGTGGATTAACATCAAGATTCTGTTCCCAGATCTTCCATTTGAACTCTGGATAACACTTGCTGGTATGGTTTCTGTTCATCTATGTAATCTCCGTGCATCAGAGCACCGCTGAGCAAGTAAACTCACTGCTGGCAAAGGGCTAGAGGGACAGCAGTTGATTTTGGAAGGCTTTGTGAAATGCTTCCCATGTTAGAACAGACTGGGGAGGATTTTTAAGGTCAGTATCAGCTGCAAACTAAAGCAGTCATCTTTCTGGTATGCTACTGCACTTCTGCTTTGGATGGCCTCAGTGGTTCCCTGCTCCACTTTGGATAGTATTTACCCACATGTTGAATTTTGGAACTACAAGAAAATGTTTGCTTCCTTCCCACCCCCTTTTGATTGGATGTACCTGGTGTTGCCCTTTAACAATTCAGCAAAAGGGAAAGTGTCTGACAAATGTCACTGCCCACTTTGTTTGGGCTTTTCCATTTAGTTATCATGTAAATAAAAGGTTATTTTAATGTAGTTTCTGACTACTGTGTAAGAAGTATACATACAATATACTTACAAGAGGATCATTTCTGCTGCAATAGTGGAAGGAATTCCAAAGAAGTTATGGGTTTAAGCTAGGATGAATCGGATTCTCCTGCTTGGCCTCAAATTATATGGATGGAAGATATGGCCAGCTAAAAAGAGACAAAGTTATTTCTTACAGAAAATAACTCCTTACCGGAGACAGTGCCCACCTGGGCAATCCTGCCTTCTGAGTGTGGCTGCTAATTCCACTGGATTTGGTAGTAGCAACCTCTCTTAGGGTGGTTTTTAATGCTTGTGGCCTTTCTGAACAGAGTTCTCTTGTTATTTATTTATTTTTATTTTAATATTGTGGACTTCCAAGCGAACGTAGTTTGAAGCACCTGCTTGACACGGTTTCTCTCCCTTAAACGTGCTACAGAACATGCATATATGCCACAAAAAGGAGTTAGGTGTCTCTTGACTGTACAGTGGAAGACTTCTTTCCACAATGAAGCAATCCTGAAGCAACTGAAGGAGGGGCTATCTAAATGATGCTTTCAAACAGAGACTGGGTCATGTTTTATGCAGAGGAGCTCTCAGAATGCAGTACTATTAGAGAGGCAGCATGTTTTCTCTCTTGACCAGAGATAGACAGTAGGGAAACTCACACTGCTGAGGTCCTGCTGCATCTCTGGGCACGTTAAGAAGGCAGCCCTTCAACTGCTGATACGTTCTGCAGATGATGAGAGAATTAACGGTCTTGTGCTCTCTGCAGTCTGGAGACAGCAAAGGAAAACAGTGAAATGAGGACAAGGGGACAGTCTGAAAAAATAAAGAGAATGATCTCTGCAGGTGGATGAACCAGGGGGACCACCTGCAGTTGTCAAAGATGGAGAAGGAAAGGCCTGTGGAATGGGGAAGAAGAGTGTGCGAGGAAACGAAGGCGTGTAAAGAACAAGGTACAGCATGACCACAGTGCAGAGTCCAGGAATACAACAATTAAAAGCAGATGGGTGAAAAATGAGGCAGGAGTTTAAAAAGTAAGAGGAGCTTAGAACAAAAGGGGGAGGTAAAGTGAAGCTAGCAGATAGCAAGCTGAGCCAGAAGAGCAAACAAATGTCACTCAGCTGTGTTAAACCTGTAGATCTCTATCACTGAAAAGTCAGATGAGCAGTAAAGTGATTATCAGCAAACTAAGAACATTATTAAATTTGCTAATATTTAGGGTACTTCATGAAAATAGAGCTCTAATAATGGCTTCCTCTCCCTCTAGTGCTCAGCACAGAGGACTTGACAATGAGCAGGGCCTAGATGCTCTGTCGTTTAGAGGTAGTGTCCTTGGCAAAGGAAGGCATTGTGGTGGGACAGGCTGCTGTCTGTACCTGCTTTGGAAATAAGCAACGCTTCCCAGTTCAAGCACTCATAGTGTGACATCCTCTTCACTTGAGCAGTCCCTGTGGTTTCTTTCTGTTGCTCTAATTGTGCAATATCAGTGATGCAGGAAACAGTTTTTGAAAAATACTCGTTTGTCCCCAAGCATCCACAAGAAATCACCAGAAGTGAGTTCTTGGTCTGCAAACCTTCCTTTGCAGGATTAATGTGTTTTCCCCTCTCTCCCTTTTTTAGGGTAGTTTCCAAAGCTCAGAGCAGCTCAGTAGCATATGGAAATGAAATTTGTTCATGTATTTCATCTTCATTCTCATGGTCTTCTTCGTGGATGTAGCTGGTTGTCTCATCTTGGTCAGACTCTGTCCTGGTCTCAAAGAGCTGCTCTTCCAGGAAGGAGCTCCCAATGCCGTATTCTTCATCGTGTGCCTTTGTTTCTGCAGGTGAGACGTGGGGAGATCCCAAAACAAAACCTGCAAACCTGCCAAAGTTTGAAAGGGAGAAATGATCAGTTTGGAAATGAAAAAACACTGCAAATGTGGGGGGAAGCAGGCAATTAAGCAGGGCTGATGTGAGGGTGTGTCTAGAGACAGTGCAGGTCACCCCTGAAGCTGTAGAATGAGCTACAGTGTCATGTAAAATAGAGAGTGAAGAGTGACAAAAGGATGATGACACCCCTGAAGATTTGCTCCCCTGCCTCATCTTCCTTTCTGTCTTCAGTCCTTCCTACACAAGTAACTCTTGTTCTTTCTGGAGGCCATCTGCAGAGTCTTGTGATTAAGCAAGATCCGACTTCATTTTTTTTCTTCATTGCTTGTGGGGTAATCCAGAGTAAAGCGCCTCTATCACTGAATAGATTGTGTTTGAATTTCTTAATTAAAAGCTGTAGAGTACTGGGGACAAAGTCTGTAAGAATTTCAGGTGAGTTGATACTGCTAATGATGGGGAAATGGTGAGAACTGAGCACTCCCACATTCCTGTGCTATCACCTTACTCCTGGTGCTGCACGCATGCTCCAGGCAAGCTGAACTGAAGCCCTGAAAGAATTCCTGCTTTTGGTTAACTGAGTTGCAGACTGGGAAAACTGCATCTGCTCCAGGTGAACTCCAAACAGGAGGTTTAGCTGAACAAAGCACCAACTTATCACTTCCTACATTTCAGTGCACCGCAAATCTTACTTGCAGTGGACAACTATACTGAAGATGCAGAATGGAACTGGAGGTTTCTGGCAAGCTCATGGGAACAGACGGCAGTTCTGACACCTGGGTAAGTGTCGACAGCATCAGAGAAATGTAAGAAAAAGGAACTGCAGCTACATTCTGCATCAGTTCTGGTAAACTGATCAATAATTTGCATTTTAGACTTGAACGTTTCTGCAAGATGAATGGTGTCACCTCGTTCTTGGAAGCGCTGTAAGTCTATATGGAGAACAGGGTGGGGCTGGATCTGTTTCGTAGGTTTGCCTATGTGCTAAACTTATCTTCCATAGGAAGTTTAAAGGGATATTAAATGTAAAATCAGACTTCTGGTTCTTTAAATTTTTGTATTTTTACAGGAACGACTTAGAAGAATATTAACTAAGTAATGACTATAAAAAGAGTGTGTCTAAGTTACTTGCTCTGTGTGGTTTTTTTGTTAACAGTACTGCAGTGAATTTTCACTTTTTGTATCTTTTAATCATGCTACAGAAGGCAAGTATCTTAGCAAACATCAGTTCAACAGTTAATCTCTAAAACCTGACAGAGCGATTGTGTGCCCGTCCAAAGAAGATGAAGTTTCTAAAATTAGTTTTTACTGATCCAATTCCAAGCTGACTGGGGCTACTTTGAAGTCGTGACGTTTGGTTCTGTGTTAGAAGCCAAGTCTTTGTGGCTGGCTGAGATATGAAACTGTGCTCCTAGTATCTTCAGGTTTTGACTTTGAAGGAAATGTACTGAGATTATGGTTAATTTTATATTCTGCAAGATTTCCTGGCTACATTAATCTGACTCCTTCACAACCTGTATTTGTCTTACATTTGTCACTGAAGCTCTATCTGGAGTAGCTCTTCTACCTGCCATCCTGTTTGGGTGCAGACCCTGGTATTTCGCAGTCTTAAGTATTGGTTGATACTTCAAGTAATAGGTTTGCTTGGCTGTGCAGACTGGCAGTCGAAGAGCTTAACGCAGCAAATGCCT